ATTAGCAAACCCGTGTGCAACTATTGGCTGTCACGCTGTGAATCTTCAAAAAGATAGTTTTGGTTGGAGATATCTTATCTTTCATAACATGTTTGTAATGATCCATCTGTTCTTTGCAGGTACAAATTTACATTGTTTAATGAGCTGTATTTTTTGGTTGCTGGTGGGACAGTGTGGATTGGTAATCTTCTGAACTTAAATGTCTTGTTACTCCCCATCTTCTTCGACTGGAAATAGACAATCCGCTTCTTGCTTGCATCTTATATGAGCACATGCACTATGCCTTATCTTGCACTTGCATTTTGCTAGTAGTTGGGGAATTTGAAATTTTTGTGTACCATAGTTGTCATGGCAGGGTGGCTAGGGCATGGGTAATGGTGTGCACTTGGGGGTTACAGTTCTCTTTTTTTTTTTTTTGAAGTTGGCTGCTGCTGTTTTTTTTTGTTTTGGGGGGAGAGAGAGAGAGAGAGAGAGAGAGAGAGAGAGGCATTATCGGAGCTGTACTTGAGATTATTTTGTGTTTTGGAACTAAAGATATAGCCTACATGGTCATAAAGTGGTTGCATCTTTGTTGTTGTTACTGTTGGTAATATGTGCAGGCTTACCATCTTGTATTACCCTCTCCTTTTATCCCCAAGTGATTTGGCTGTACTGAAAATCCAAAGAAATGTGTGGATTAATGCGTAGAATAAGTGGATAGGGGCCAATATCCAGTTTGGTCTCTGTTAATCTTGAGGGTGCAAGACGTGGTAGCTGGTATAATTAACCTTTGTTTTTTTTTTGCTCAAAATGGTGGCCCTCAGATTTGAAACCTCAACCTCATAGTTGTTTGCCAGACACTTATACCACTGGACCATACAATGATTCCCTACATAGAAGAGGTGGTGACTTATCCAAAGATATTGTTTTTCCCCTTTTTGTGAGAAGTATGGAGAAAGTGACATGGAATTCAATGGATTCACACTGTACACAAGAAGTTTGGCTTAATTGAACACTGTGGATGCCTAGTCTTATTCCTCCTCTTCTTGTTGCCTTTTGTTGAAACATACATGTGACAGAATAGCAACACATCATGGCTGATTTTATTTTTCTATGCAGACTCTCCCTTACCAGCTGCAGACATGAGGAGTGTTCGGCATCAACCAACAGTAGTGGAGAACAAAGATTCCAAAGTATCTGAAGCGGAAATAAATGGAAGACAGAGTGCACTTGTTACGCAGGCATCGAATTGTGGTAATATTGCCGATGGTGGTATAGAATGTGGGGATGAAGCAAGTATGATGAGAGATTCTGGTGAAGACAAATCAATGATTCCCCAGAGAAAAGACAGCAATTGTTTTGCAAATCCTTGTAAGTTGTCAGACTCACATGTTGATAGTGGGGATGTAGGTAGGTTTCTATATTTGGAAGGGGTGGAATATATTATGTGGTGTACATATGATGTGCACTTCTATGCATCTTTTGCCCTTCTTGAGCTGTTTCCCAAAATTGAACTCAGTATTCAGCGGGAATTTGCAAAAGCTGTCTTATGTGAGGATGGGAGAAAAGTGAAGTTCCTGGCAGAGGGAAATTGTGGGATCCGTAAGGTTAAGGGTGCTGTTCCTCATGATCTCGGAACTCATGACCCATGGCATGAAATGAATGCATATAACATACACGATACCAGTAGATGGAAGGATCTTAACCCAAAGTTTGTGCTTCAAGTGTATAGAGATTTTGCTGCAACTGGAGATTTCTCATTTGGAGCCGATGTGTGGCCTTCTGTTTGTGCTGCAATTGAGTACATGGAACAATTTGATAGGGACAATGATTGTCTTATTGAGAATGATGGATTTCCGGATCAAACATATGACGCTTGGACAGTTCATGGCGTAAGTGCTTATTGCGGTTGCTTATGGCTTGCTGCACTTCAAGCTGCAGCAGCAATGGCCCTTCAACTGGGTGACCAGGCCTTCGCTGAAAGATGCAAAGGCAAATTTATAAAGGCCAAATCAGCATTTGAATCAAAACTATGGAATGGTTCTTATTTTAACTATGACTGTGGGTCAAGCAGCAACAGCAAATCAATCCAAGCTGATCAACTAGCAGGACAGTGGTATACAGCATCTTCAGGCTTGCCTGATCTTTTTGATGATATCAAAATCAGAAGTGCCCTTCAAAAAATCTATGATTTTAATGTTATGAAAGTTAGAGGAGGTAGGATGGGTGCTGCCAATGGAGTGCATCCCAATGGAAAGTTGGATGAGACTTGCATGCAGTCTCGTGAAATTTGGACTGGAGTCACCTATGCTGCTGCTGCTACCATGATCCTTGCTGGGATGGAGGAGCAGGCTTTCAATACAGCTGAGGGTATATTCATTGCAGGCTGGTCAGAGGAAGGATATGGGTAAGATTTATGCATATCATCCACTCAATCAGATAAACTAGTCATTTGGTGTCAATCTTTTTTTTTTCCTCCATTTAGTTTATTCCACTTGCTCCATTGAACTGCATTATTGCAAAAATGATGATCTCATTAAAATATGTATAACACGAGTATATAAAAGATTGCTGATCACCAAAAGGAATATTAATAAAGACCACATGTGCTCAATATGAATATTCATGTTGCACTGGATGGCAGAACCACTTCATGCAAAATATACTCCAAAACTGCTTCAAAATGTCAAATGAAGCTACTCAATTAGCATAATTTCTCAAGTATCTATAGTTTCGCTAGATAGACCCTGTCGAATGGCTCTGTTCCTTAATGATCCTACCAGGCCGTACTAAATCCGGAATCCAGTATATATGTGATTGGGCAGAGCATCTTTTTCCCCTCTTTTTGCATGGCATTATTCCTACCTGCTAAGCTCAATATTTCATGGTTTTGCATGTCTTGTCGTGAATTTATATGTACTGATAGAATTGTGGCTATTTATATGGACTGATAGAATTGAAGAATATTATACAACGAATTGCTTATAAGGTTATAAATCAATTAATGGGGCCCGAAGAGAAACTCCCAGTATTGGTATCATGATGAAGTTTCTACTTTCTTGTTGCCGGCATGAGAACGAGTGATTAAATTGATCCTTCAATTCCATAAGCACTGGTGATTAAAAAACCTCAAACACAAAATTTGCCACATGTGAATGATGTTGCAGTGTTTTTCTCATAGATTTCAGCTTTTTTTCTTTTGAGAAAAACTCAATTCAGAATTTTATGGTTGGCGTAATAGTTGCAAAGTTTGACTCTGGATAATGCAACTTCTATTATTCCATAAATAATAAACTATGGACGAGCTCATGTACTTGAGTTAAATAATTATCCCTGGTACTTGCTAAGCCTGGAGATTATACATTACTCAGAGCTTATCCACATGCTCTTGACTTAATTTCTCTTTTAATGTCATGATTCACGAACCTTGACCTTTTCAGGATTCACCATATCCAACATGTGTACGTATAAGCACACTACTGGACTCAGGATTAATTGTCGAAAGACTGAGTGCACCTGGGACTGTGGTCTTGCATTTATCCGGGATACGTAGTTAGATCTTGTAGGTTAAGTATTATTTAGGATAAACTTGTTGCTAGTGCAGGCTAAATTTACCCATGATTTGTGCCTTTTTTTGGTTGTCCATTTAAAACGAAGAAAATAATACTTGTTGCTATGCTATGCCTTTGACCATTAGGCAGGGCCGCCTTTTTCTTTAATTGTGTCAAAGTAATGTAGAAAGTGAAGAGTATGTTTAGCAGGATGTAGTTGGTCTAATGGTAGGCTACTAGTAACACTTCACTTACTGGTATTGCATGTGCTTAACAAAATTAAAATTGGCTATCATTCTAAATGGCAACAATATTCCTATTGCATGCAATATATCATAGAAGGAAACTTTTTCCATGAAAAAATGTTCTTACAAATTTCCCCTTTGAATCTGTTTATGCATCTGGACAACTTGCTTAAGCAACATGAGCTCCTGTGACTTTGACGAAATTGACAAGTGTGAATATGAGGATATATATGCATATGCTAAAGCAAAAGTTGCTGTGCTATTTTCCCTGGACTTGATTCAGCTTTCTGATCAGGAAAAAATTCCTCCTGGACTGCCACATAAAGCTCTTCTCTTCCCCCTGCTTTGGTTTTTGTTTTGAGAGTTTTGGTGTGTTTTTGAGGGGAGAGATGTCAAAATGAAGTTCAGTGTATTAGTTTTGGTTGGGTAATAGTGGTACTGCTGATACTCCTACACAAGTGGTTTTTTTCCCTGTGGACTAGCATGATTGGCTGAGACCCGGGCAAAAAAAAAACATTAGTAAAGAAAGAGGAAGAGGATGAGAGATGAAATAATACAAAGAAAGTTGAAAAAATAAATCAAAGATAAGGTGTTCCAAAAGTCTTTTCTTAGTTGTGGAGTTAATTTCATGAGAGATTGTTCAAAGTAAAGAGAGATGTTTTCTTGGTTTCATAAGCTTTGTTTCCTACTGCATCGGTTGTCCTTAGTGTCACTGTGCCCTTGTCAAGTCTTAAATGTTTTTGACAAGATATACTGTTTTATATTGAAATATCATCACTCCGTGCTGTGCTTATTTCTTCTTGATGTGTGTCTGAGATGATATTCTGGACTCACTATTTTTCCTTTTTCTTTGTGCAGATACGCATTCCAAACCCCAGAGGGATGGACAGTTGACGGGCACTTCCGGTCTCTGATATATATGAGGCCACTTGCAATTTGGAGCATGCAGTATGCCTTATCCTTGCCAAAGGCTATTCTTGACGCCCCTAAGACTAACATAATGGACAGAATCCACGTATCTCCTCTTAGTGCAAGATCTTCCCACAACGAGACCGGTGTGAGAAAGGTTGCAAATAAAACAAAATGCTTCGGCAATCCCGTGTTTCACTGTGCTTGCTGACTACCCATTTGTAAGTTTTAATTTCTGTTACACTTTCGTTCATTAAATCTTTGTTTGCTTCCCTTAAACTGCCTTGGTGGAAGAAAAACCGAGGTAGATTTAGGGAAGCCTTGATTTCACAAAAGGGCAATAAAAATCTGGGCTGTAACTTGGAAGTTCGAAGTCACATTTAATCTAATTCGAATGGAATTTTTTGCACACTATCTCCTTTCAGAGTTTAGTAATTGTTTTGTTTCCTGTTTATAGCCCAATGTTTGAGTTTGTGTGCATCAGATTAGTGCTCAAAGGGGACTTGCAAAACAATTTGTATGGTTTGTTATTTTTTGTATTTTTTGGCGCATAAATATTGGAAGTTTGAACATTTTTTAACCCATCTTTTCTACGTTATTGGGTGTGTTTGATAGGAGTGCTATGTTAAAGTATCGAATTTGTTGGTCAAATTCGTTGCTTATGTTAGATTAGTAGTGAGTTTTAATAGTGGATGGGATACGTTGAGGTGGCTTTGACATTAAATTTGTCATTGTTTTTTGTAACGGAAGTTTTTAAATGATTGGTGAAGGCCGAGCAACACAAAATTCAGGTAATCCAAATTGGAGCATGAACAGCGAGCCCCATAAGCAGCAATGATCAGGGGTTTTCGAGCAAGTTTACGCACATTTCAATTAAGTCTTTTTTTAATTTGATCAAAGGCAGATCATCCATACATGAGCTAGGATATTTATAAAAAATAAATCCCTCATAGCTGGACTGCAAAGATTTGTAAAGGTTCGAGCTTAGAATATTTGAATTTACAGCTCTTTCTTACTATCATTTGAGTTATTCCTCAGGTTTATAAGCAACAACTTCTAGACACACGACATTAGTTCTACAAACTACTCAAACTCGACCATCAAGGTTAAAAAATGTAAGGGTGCAGATTAGATGTGCGCTATCAAATTGTTAGTGGGTGTGTTAGTCGAGTTTTTTTTTTTAATTAGAATGTGTTGGTCGAATTGAGCCTCTAATTATGGTATGTTCATAGTTGAGCTCGATTACTGAGTGTAAGTTTTTATTCAGATTGTGTTGCTAAATCATATGCTCAAGTGGCTCGAATCAACTCATTTTTTTGAACTACAAACTTAGAATTTGAGCTTGAGTTTAGCCGTTTAGGTATATTCGGGTAAATACAAAAAACAAATGCCTAATCAGACTCAAACATATAGGGGTTGTTTGGTAACGTTTTCGTTTTCGTGTCTTCAAAATAATAAAAAACAAAAACAATTGTTGTCTCTGTTTTGTGATAAACACTGAAACAAAAAATATGTTTGAATATATTTTTGTCTATCAAATTATGAAAACAAAAAACAAAAAACATATTTGGTAACTATTTCACGTTTTATCATAAATATGCTTTATAATATATCATAGTATCATACAACAAAATACAAATTCAAAAATTCCTTAAACCAAAACATCCATTAATTCATCAAAGAACACCTAAATAAAAATAATTAGATTACATAAATCACTACTCACATTAATAGTATTAATCTATATTAATCCATCAAACTCATTCAATCTACTCATTAGTTTGTTAGCCAAAAAAAAAAAAAATTGGGACTAAATGGCAATTCAATCAATTCCAAATAGCTATTCAATCAATCATAAATTGCAATTCAATCAATCCCGAGTGATAATTAATCTCCAAATGATAATTTATTCTCAAATGATAATTCAATCAATTCTATATCGCAATTGAACAATTCTAAATGATAATTCAATCGACAATTAATCCAAACACAGCACACATACACACAAAACATAACACACACACAACACAACACACACACAAACTCATCTCTCTCTCACACATAAACACACATGCACAGATCTGTGTAGATTTGCACACAAATTTGTGCATCACACAACATAAAACACACATAGGCTCGTCACTCACACACACAACACATACACACACAGACCCGTCACCCTCTCACACACACACACGCACAAATCTTTGAAAATATGCACAGATTTGTGTGGATCTGTACATATATACATAGATTTGTGTCTTCGTTTTTGGATTTCACAAATAGCAAGCAAGAGAGAGAGAGGGTTTCGGTTCATCTTCGTTGGCAGAGCACCGTTGGTTTGTCTTCGTCGTTGAAAGAGAGAGGAGAGGAGAGAGTCGTTGAGAGCTCTAAAGAAAAAAGAGTTGCTGAGAGTGGAGGAGAAGAGAGAGAGTCGATCTGTGCGGAGGAGAAGAGAAAAAAAAGACCTCCTATTTATACTTTGAGAAATGAACGAGTTTTTTGTGCCTAACAAGACTCGAAATTAAGACCTCATTTAATCAAGAAGCGCGTGTTTTGTGTATTTCCTGAAACACAAATTTTTTGTTTCCATTTTTTTGTCTTTGTTTCCAAATAACTAATGTAAAACAAAAACAAAAACAAAAACAGTACCCCCAACATATTTTTGTTTTCATTTTTGACAAAAATTGAAAACAAAAATACAAAACACAAGACAAAGACAATAAACAAACAACATCGTAATCTCTTGAATAAACATCTAATGTCTTCATTATTCTTTACTAACATGGTTTTTTTAATATATTATATCAAAAGATAATCGAGGTTGAGCATATCGCTTTGAGTAGTGCATTGCTTAGACTCTACTTGAATGTTAAATAAACTTACCAATAGAAAGTGACAGAGTGTGTCACTTACGTGATCAAACTCTGATTCATTTGTGTCACATAAGTGACACATTTCGTCACTTTCCGTTAAAAAATTTAACAAAGACAAATAGAACGATTCAATTAACACAAGTTATACAACTAGAGAGTTTAATGGCTCAATTGTGATGCAAGAGTCATAATTTAAGGATTATATGTATAATTTATTCAATTTAAAATAATATAGGGTTACGCGCTTTATTTTTGAATTACAGTGGGTAAAGTGCTACAGAGGCAAACTATAAGGGAGTAAAATAAAAATTTTCCTTTATTTTTTAATGTGTCAAACCAAACTTGAGTGGCTCAATTTGGTTCACTTTGCGCCCTAACTCCTCCTAACTATTGGTTCTCTTCTCTGTGTGTATTGAATGATGAAATGAATAGAGTCGTGTAGCACGTAGCATAGCGAATGTTGAAAGCTCTACTTATCGTTCTTATTCGTAATGAACAATAGTAGTAAATTATAGAAGTAGAAGAAATAGCGTCTCTCTATTTCGACGTATAGTGGTGGCTTGTGTAGCGTCCTGGACCAATTCTAGCAAGCCTGTGCCTCATAAATTTCTTAAATGTATGAATCTTGAGAAAGTTTTTGGATGTACCGATGATGATTGAGCTCAAATATATTATTTTGTGTACGATGTTTTCTGAATTAAATTTGAGCCAATACTAAATGTACTTTATGTTTAATGTGTAAATCGCGCACAACTAACACGGGCACGGGCATGGGCGCGACACAGTTGAATGCGGCCACAAAAATTTCAACCCAATAGTGCCACACACAATAAGGTCGGGGCTCGATCACGGGCATGGTACGAGGATGATTTGGGCAAGTCTCATGACCATTTTTTTTTTTTTTTTGCAATTTATGACCCAAAAAAGTTATATTTACATTTTCAAACAACTATTTTATTGCTACTTACCAAAAAAAAAAACTACTTTATTGCTATCTTGGCGGGTATATTTATCTCTCGCAAAAGTTATGTTACAGTTAGTTTGATGGATAAATTTAGAATCAATATTATTAAATTTTCCATAAAAATACCTTTACTCAAATTTCTTTTTTTTCCTGAAAAAATTTATTCACTTTTCTCGACAATCTTTTTTTCTCTTTACAAAATATAAAGAAAGCACTAAGCATGAGCACATACACGACCCAAGCATAGCACGACCTTGGAACTGGCACAACCCAAGCCCCAATACACTAGGCACAACACGATTTGAAATGGGTAGTGCTAAGCATGACATGAAACATGAACCACTGTCTCTAAATGTTGAACACTCAAAAAAACTTCTGATTTTCTATATTATTATTCAGTTTTTTTCTAGAATGTGAAACGTAGATTTTCTATATTGTACTTTAATTTTAGTGATGAATTCCATTGTTGTCATTTTTGTGCCCCAATGTGAAACGTAGCTTCGTAGTCTTCCAGTCGAGTAAAAATTTAGTATAACAAAGATATCATTTCATTATTATCACGTAATATTATGATCTAATAATAAATCTACAAGTGGGTAAGGTAAACCTAAGATAATATCCTCACGCAATACATTTTTTTTTCTCTATTTTACTTATAGGTAGATCATTAATCGTGGATTCAAGTGAGATCCATTATAGTTAAGTGAGTCCCTCACTCATTAAAATAGATGATTTGTCAAAAAAAGAAAAAAATATTACGAAGAATCTTGGTCCAATGAATCCTATTTCTTTACATGAAATTATTATTTTCTTATATGAATAAGGTTGTTATTATCATTTAGAATTGAACAATGACACAAAGAAACGGCTATGACACGATGTCACTGTTATCAATACTATATATAAAACAATTAAATTAGGTGAGAAGTAACTTGAGAAACTTTCCCTCACTTTTTTAATTTTTTTAGATTTTTTAGTTATTTAATTATTAAACAGTTTTAACCAATTATATTCTAATTAACTACCACTCATTTAAAAAAAATTTAGAAATATAGTTTTACACACCTAATTTTTTATAATTATTTTATCACCCTATTTTTTTTTTCATGGTTTTATATCTAGGGGTTGCCCGTGCGACATAATTTGAACGCATCATCTTTTTCCTCCTATCTTCTGTCCCTTCCTTTTTTCATTTTTTATTGTCATCATCTAAGTCACTCAATTCATCTTCCATCACTCATGTTTTATCACTTCGCGTGTAAATTTGTAAATTAGGAGCGAATTCGTTATAAATTTGTAAACTCAATTATTTTAATTCTCAAATTCAGTACAGTTGCATATAATGCCTTAAGCCTTTGGTTAATCTTTTTCTTGGTTGAATAGATTTTATTTAATCATTCACCTTATTATTTTTATGTGGGATTCAAAATCCAAATTAATAGTTAAATTTTTTAAAATAATTTATCATATAGTTGCATATAAAGCTAATTTTTAAAGTAATGCTGCCCCTATGCGATGCATATAATTCATAATATTTCTTCATTGCCACTGCCACCTTTACTCCCAGCCCATCCTAACATAATAAAAAATTATTCAATAATGTGCTAAATTGATATTTTTTTAAACATATAAATGTAAAATAATTAATAAAGATGATAACAAATTTTAAAGTGAAGTAATTACACAAAATTTGGAAGTGATCATATAGGTTACATGTGTTGAATTCAATTGGATGAAGCAACAACACAACAACAGGGGAAAGACTTGCCCGACCAAACCAGAGATCGAGATCAAAGTTTATTCGTGTAAGAGATAATGAAAAGTGAATCAAAATTTTTTCGCTTTCATACTTTATTTGAAGGGTCTGAAGGCCCTCCAATCCTTTTCATAATTGAGAAAGAAAAACAGTTTAAATCAATGGACATGTGAATCATTTTTGATGGATGTTACACATGACACAATCAATTCGACTCAAAATCCAACGCTAATACTAATAGAACTTGTTTACTTTCTCTTTGAAAACAGTAAACTTCGAGTACTTGGATGTATGTGCTTTGTTAAAATCCCTGTCCTTGCACAAGACAAATTGAGCCTTACATCTCACTCTATATTTTTCTTGAGTAAGGTTGGGATATCCATGTCTCAAAAAGATTATAAGTGTTAATAATACTTCTACATGACAATTCCACTATTTTTGAATATATGTCTTATTATAGAGGTCGGAGCTTTACTATACCATGTCATGATGGGGCACTATACTCCCTTGTATCGTGTTAGATGGAGAATTAAAAAAGAATATATGTGAGATAACATTAAAATTCTATGTTTCAATTTAATAGACGCAACAAGGTTCAAGTGAGCAGAGTTATCGTTAGCTTTATTAGTTGAAAATTTAAAAAAGAAAAAAGAAAAAAAGAACTTGAGAAGAGAAAATTTCTTTAATATTCTCTCTCTTAAATTAAATATTTTAATAAGATAACAATTATCATAAATTCAATTGAATTCACCATATACAAATGAGTTTATAGGGTCGATACATTATGTACTTGGCCTATTAATCGTCCACATTCCCTGGTTAGTTAAAATAAAGAGATTTTAATAAATAAATAAATAAGGGATGAGTCATTTAATTAGAATATCCAAACACTCCCGAGGCCCGAAAGCAATAGCAGCTTTCTCTCTCCTCTTCCCAGTTCCCTTTCTTGAATCCAAACCCGTCAGTTCGTTTCTGAGTCTCACACACACACACACACACACACACACACACACACACACACAAGCAATGCAGAAAGCTGGAAATATCAGAGTCTCTGTGGCGGTGTACAATGTAATCGTGCAGCTAGGGGTGAAGCATTCCATATTTACGGGTAAATCTCAAAATTTGGAATTAACTTGGTCAAAATTAATAATTTTTGGTATACTTCTAAGAAACCACATGTATACCAAAAATTATACCCCAAATTTTAATAGGGTCGAGGACCCCTTTTGGCTAGTGGCTGTGAAGGAATACTAGATCAGACACACACAAGCTTTAAACTGAATGCTCCATATGCAGAAGTTAAGAGGCCTAAAAAAACCGCCTACAACTGCTTGGCGGATAGATTTTTGACATCCTCACAAAGAATCACTGAGAAAGAGAGAGAGAGAGAGAAACCTATTGGAACAACATCATTTTACAAACATTCCCCTTCCTAAAGCTTATGTGGCTTGCTCACCTAACCCATTAAAAAACTTCCCAACAGTCCTTGCCAGGAAGATTTCAAGGAAACATGATATGTGAAGTCCCTCTTCAATCTTACCTTTCCTTCAACGACCCATTGTTTGAGCGTCTCAATTCCCATGGTGGAAAGCAGCCTTTTAAGGGTGACTGTAGAAACATAGAAGATGTTGACAACTGCCTCTGCCTTGTTGAGATCGAAGACAAGCAACTGAAGGCACTTCGCAGCCTTCTTCTTTCACTATTGTACGCTTGATCATTAAGGTCATGTTGCACAGCAGAAATTTTGAGCGCTTCTGGCAGTAGACAGTTGAAGATTGAACCTGAGATGACAGCAAGCAGAACAAGGAAGATTACCCTATTGTATCACTTCCTTAAAGGATGAAATTATGCAGAAGAATGATAACAATCCTTTTGATGAGACCACCTCTCAACAAGGAGATGAACTCTGATCCCAAATGTTCACAAAATTGAAACACTGCAGTGGAAATCAGAGGTAAAATTGACATTTCTGTTGACAAAAAAGGAATCAATCTTAAACTTCCATTCCCTACACACACCCTATTGATTTCTAGCAACACATGCCACAAGCATACATGACATACAACCCTGATTGGGAGTGGGGGTGGGGGGTTGTTGGAATGACACAAACGAAAGCACCACAGGAAGTGTTGTCTGGGCAGGTGGCTCTTATTCCACAACACCCCCCCCCCTCCACCCCAAAAGAAAAAGAATATNCTCACACACACACACACACACACACACACACACACACACACACAGAGTTGAGAAACAAAGCAAAAAAAAAAAAAAGCGAGAAGTTCAAGCAGACCACCCTATATAAGTGATCAGACTCGACAATTCGCTTCAAACTCACTTACAGGTACACTCAACCACTCAATTTCATACGATTTTGATTCTTTGCTTCGTTTCGTTGCTGATGATATGGGGAAAAACCCTAAGAGATATATGAATGTCTAGTTTATTTCCCAGAGTTTGTTCTCTGTTAGGACTTTGGTGTATGGAGTTTGAATATTGAAAGAATTTGACCGGGTTTTGATATTCACATACTGAATCAGGATTTTGTTACTTTTAATACATTTCTTTTGTTTCCTAATCGTTTTCTTTGTGGCAAGCAAGGTATATGTTAATTTTTGCTTATTTCATAATGGATTTTGCTAATAGTTTGTGGGTTTTGTGGATTTAGTTTTCTAATCATGGCAAGGAAGATGCTAATTGATGGGGAGCTAGGCAATGCTACTGAAGAAGAGGCTCACTATGACTTTGACTTGTTCGTGATTGGGGCCGGAAGTGGCGGTGTTCGGGCTGCTCGATTTTCAGCTCAGTATGGAGCTAAGAAGGTATAAACCCACATCTATATGTATTCTATGTGCCTCTGCATTCTAGCTGCACAGGTGAAAACAATAGAAATAGCACTCTTCAAGCTCCAAAATGAAGAGCACCATGTTCCCAGGTCAGTTTATTGTTGATTTGTATTATCTTTGTGTTGATCAATAGTGATGAGCCCTGAGTTTGCTGGGTCAAGCCTGATTAATGACATAAGTCCAAATCAGCTAAAAGTCCTGTCAAGCCCAGCTCATAGATTCAGTCCAGTCTAAAGTTCAAGGAGTAGAAGTAGATTGGCGCACGTGGAAAATAATCATCGGGATAGCCACTCTCTTAAATCAAGACTATCTCTAATTGTACCTATCATAGTTATAGCTATCCTCCCCTAATAAGTTAGAAACCTCTCCATCATGCCACCGCCTCAATCAAGACTCTTTGCCTTTAAATTGTAAGCCCTTTACATGTGAGAGACACATCTCTCGACACTGTTATCTTTCTCATAACTATCCAACCTCTTCTAGAGCTTACCTTCTCTCTCTCCCTTGCCTTATTTTATTAATTAAGTTCTCCGGCTACTGTGGTTACTTTTGAAATAGAGTAGGTCACCTTAACCGAACCATTATACATTTGTGTTTTGACCTAATCTTTGCCTCCTTCATTAATTGCTTTGTTTTGTCTTATTAATTACTCAGCATCATATACTCGACTGTGGATTGTTCATAAGCTTATTTTGTGTATCATTAGTTTGGCGCCATTTGTGGGAATCGAATAAATTTTTCTACTACTTTGCTACTTTCTTTCGAATCAATGGCAACTACAACCAAATCGATGAACCAATAATCGGAAGACAATGACCCTGCTCGTTAGGAAGAGGCCCCACCTCCACCAGTAAAACTGTCAACTACGGCGAATTTTGTGGTCGGACAACAGCTGTTGGAGACTATGTAGTTGTTGGTGAGTCAAAACCAACAAATTTTCTAACTGATGCTCGTCTCAGGAGGCATGGCCTCTTAACCCGTTGGAGGAGCACCACTCTCTCCTATAGGAGAGGGACTATAGCCTCCCCACTTTGGGCGCCAAGGTGGTTTCCAGTGTGACACCCAGCGACTGGATGCCCCCATGTAGCGTCATGGCACCCCTCGCCAAGGAGTCCCACCTCAGTGCACAGACGTCTCACATGTTTTCTCTTCTTATGTACTTGCTCCACACGCTGCCAACCATCTTGAGCAGGAGGATGAGGGGGAGAACTAGTATACGAATCATGAAAACTATTACAATGATCCAACAAATGATGTCTTTAACCAATGAAATGAGAAGATTAAGGAGGTATAAAATCAACTTGGCGATGTTCTCAACGCTATTAAAGCATAGGCGTTAGAAATAGTGGAGTACCTGATAAGACGCACTGACACCCCGTTTGTGGCGGATGTTGTCAACTACCCCCTACTTTCAAAGTTTAAGATACCTACCATTGAAATCTTTGATGGCACCAAGGACCCCTTGATCATCTTGACATATACAAATCTCTCGTGGAACTCCACAATGTGTCTGATGAAATCATGTACATTGTATTTCCTACTACCACCCTTAAGAGATTTGCAAGACAATGGTTTGCGAAGTTCAATCAAGCCTTCTTCCATCCATTCCTTTGCAGATTTTAGTAAATCCTTTACCTCTCAATTCATTTGGGGACGTCGACACCAGAAGTCAGTTATTCACCTGCTGACTATCAAGTAGGATCGGGATGAAAGTTTAAGGAGTTACCTCACTTGTTTTAACGAGAAGGTTCTTTCGATCGAGGAGTTAGACGACAAGGTAACCATGACTGCCTTTATTGCGGATTTGTGCTCTTCTAGTTTCATGTTCTCTGTTCTAAAGAAGTCGTCATCCAGCATGCCCGAACTGCTGTCAAGGGCACAAGATGCTAGAAAGGATTTAGAGATTTAAACACATAAGGATATAATAGTAATATAGATATTTAACTATGGAATGATTAATGTAGTATTTAAAATTCTTTATAAAAGTAAAATAGTGAACCAAAAGTTTTTCACTAAGGTACTTTTATTAGTAATATAGATTATAAGGGTACAATAATGAATCAAATTTTTTTCATACTAAGGTACTCTTATTAGTAGTTTTTTTATAAAGGTAAAATAGTGAACCAAAAGTTTTTCACTAAGGTACTTTTATTAGTAGTATAGATTATAAGGGTAAAATAGTGAATCAAAAGTTTTTCATACTAAGGTACTTTTATTAGTAGTATACATATAGATATAGATATATACTACTATAAAATATCAACAAAAGTGACATTAATGACTGGAGTTGGATTCTCGTTAATGAATAGTATGACCCTAATATATAGTCAGGTGTCTCATCTAGCACCCTATATAAGTGCCAAAAAAGAAAGAAGAAAGATTAGGCACAGTAGATTAAGTTCCTACTTCTCAGGCTTTGTTGCTGCGCCAGTTTAATGGTGAACCTCTTTTGTACCTTTGTACCCTTATTTTGTTATTCTGATGGTGTGCTTATATTACAAAAATGAAAAATACTATTCAACTGTTAGCAGTCATAAGTTCTTATCCTACCTCTTGTTTGACCTGTTCAGAGATACTGTTTTGTGGAATGGTATGCTTATGTACATGGAAATCACTTCCGATTGTGGTTTTGTTAACCTTTTGTTTTTCTTGTATTGATTTTACTCATGACAGTTTTGTACTACTTGTTTCATTCCTTTATATGGCAGCCCATTTGATAATTTATTCTTTCCTAAGCAATTTTGAAATTGTTGTTCCAAGGTTGGGATTTGTGAGCTTCCATTTCATCCAATCAGTTCAGAAGTTGTTGGAGGCGTTGGTGGAACGTAAGTTTGTCAGATTACTTAAATAGTCTGAAAGGCAATGCCTCTGCTGTTTTACCTTTAACATTACGCATTAGGACCTGCATCATATTTGTTGGCTTTCATCTGCTATGATTTAGCTGTATCAACCCTACCTAAATAGGGTTCAATAACTTGTTTATTGTCGGTCTAATTGCACAATATGCAATATGTTTAAATTTACATCGAAGTGGTGACCGATGAAGGCATAGCATTGTCCCTTAAGATCAAAATCTACATTGGCTAGATGTAAGCCCAACAACAATCCAGGCTGCACAGGAAGACCCTGTGCTAGCTGTGATTCATGACTTTGCCAGTCTTGTTTTGTTTGTGGAGTAGCTTCATTATGATGTCTTTATTAGATCTGATTACTGAATGTGGGTATGAAATCAACTACCCTTGTGATGTGTTTGGCTTGGTCCCCATGGAGATGGAACCACCTGAGTAGTTAGCATAAACTTACCTCATGTTTTATTTTTTGATCGGAAACAAACTTTCATTTCATAGAAAGAAGCAAGTGTACATAACTGGTGGATAAGAAATTCAATCAAAATAGCAAAAATAAAAATTCAAGTAAAGTAATCCCCCCAGAAAAAAAATCAACTATAAACGGTTTTTCAATTCTGTTGAAGAACTAATAAAGAAGTGTCACCAAAAACTTTACTCTTTCCCATAGCCAGGGCCTACCCAACAAGAAGGTTGATAAAGTCTAAGCTTTAGGCCTCATTACTAAGGAAGGCCTCAAATTTTTAGATACATCATTAGCCTATGACAAAAATTTGAATCTATGAAATTTTTAAGCCCTGCAAAAAAATTTATAAGCCCAATCAAAAATTATAAAATTCTATAAGTTAGGCCCATAGTCCAACCTATAACGTGCAAAACCCAAATTTTTTTTGTCTAACATTAAAAACAAAAAAGTAACTCAAAGGTCAACTCATTTGTCATTCTCCACCAGCCTTTCTCTCTCTCTCAAAGGTTAACTCAACACTCTCACTCTCACTCTCACCTCACTCTCACTCTCTCACTCTCATTCTCTTTCCCGACAAACACAAAACAAAAGCTCAACAATATTTACCATGGCCTTGTGGTAACTGGTCAAGTTGGCCAAAACCCAACAAACCTCGACTTTTTACTTCTCTCCATGGCCTTGTGGATTCAACAACAAAGCTTTTCTGTGAAGAACATCAACTCAGAAACAAGTTCAGAAACAAGTTCTATTGTTCTATAACTTTAGATTTTTTATTAATTTGAAGGTTGTATTGTATGTTTTAACTGTAGGTTCTTTGATTGTGTTTGTTTATTTGGTTGATAATATAGCTATAATATGGCACCTAGATGACAACNATCAGTTCAGAAGTTGTTGGAGGCGTTGGTGGAACGTAAGTTTGTCAGATTACTTAAATAGTCTGAAAGGCAATGCCTCTGCTGTTTTACCTTTAACATTACGCATTAGGACCTGCATCATATTTGTTGGCTTTCATCTGCTATGATTTAGCTGTATCAACCCTACCTAAATAGGGTTCAATAACTTGTTTATTGTCGGTCTAATTGCACAATATGCAATATGTTTAAATTTACATCGAAGTGGTGACCGATGAAGGCATAGCATTGTCCCTTAAGATCAAAATCTACATTGGCTAGATGTAAGCCCAACAACAATCCAGGCTGCACAGGAAGACCCTGTGCTAGCTGTGATTCATGACTTTGCCAGTCTTGTTTTGTTTGTGGAGTAGCTTCATTATGATGTCTTTATTAGATCTGATTACTGAATGTGGGTATGAAATCAACTACCCTTGTGATGTGTTTGGCTTGGTCCCCATGGAGATGGAACCACCTGAGTAGTTAGCATAAACTTACCTCATGTTTTATTTTTTGATCGGAAACAAACTTTCATTTCATAGAAAGAAGCAAGTGTACATAACTGGTGGATAAGAAATTCAATCAAAATAGCAAAAATAAAAATTCAAGTAAAGTAATCCCCCCAGAAAAAAAATCAACTATAAACGGTTTTTCAATTCTGTTGAAGAACTAATAAAGAAGTGTCACCAAAAACTTTACTCTTTCCCATAGCCAGGGCCTACCCAACAAGAAGGTTGATAAAGTCTAAGCTTTAGGCCTCATTACTAAGGAAGGCCTCAAATTTTTAGATACATCATTAGCCTATGACAAAAATTTGAATCTATGAAATTTTTAAGCCCTGCAAAAAAATTTATAAGCCCAATCAAAAATTATAAAATTCTATAAGTTAGGCCCATAGTCCAACCTATAACGTGCAAAACCCAAATTTTTTTTGTCTAACATTAAAAACAAAAAAGTAACTCAAAGGTCAACTCATTTGTCATTCTCCACCAGCCTTTCTCTCTCTCTCAAAGGTTAACTCAACACTCTCACTCTCACTCTCACCTCACTCTCACTCTCTCACTCTCATTCTCTTTCCCGACAAACACAAAACAAAAGCTCAACAATATTTACCATGGCCTTGTGGTAACTGGTCAAGTTGGCCAAAACCCAACAAACCTCGACTTTTTACTTCTCTCCATGGCCTTGTGGATTCAACAACAAAGCTTTTCTGTGAAGAACATCAACTCAGAAACAAGTTCAGAAACAAGTTCTATTGTTCTATAACTTTAGATTTTTTATTAATTTGAAGGTTGTATTGTATGTTTTAACTGTAGGTTCTTTGATTGTGTTTGTTTATTTGGTTGATAATATAGCTATAATATGGCACCTAGATGACAACAATCTAGATACGAAAAATTTAAAAAAAAAAAAAAAAAAAAAGAAAGAAAAAATGGATCAACTAACGGAATCCCAAAAAAGGGAATGGCTCAACAAGAAAATAAAAAAATAGAAGATAATGTAATAGAAGATAACCAAAATCGTAACGAAACAAGTAATTTTAAAAGAAATTTTGTAAATGAAAGAAAATACTCCAATTGAGATACTAAATTATATCAAAAGGTTAGATTATTTTTCAAATGCATGCATAGTTTATAGAATATTATTAACAATTCTTGTAACAATTGTTTTTGCGGAAAAAATCTTTTCAAAATTAAAATTAATAAAATTTTATTTAAAGTCAATTATGTTACAACAAAGATTAATTGGATTAATGATACTATCAATTGAACAAGATATGGTAGCAAAACTTAAATGTAAAAACTTAAATAGTACTTGTGCAACTAAAAAAGTAAGAAAAATTAATTTTAAATAAAAAATTTTAATACTAAAAAATGAAATGGCTCATTTTAATACTAAAAAAAGTTTTGGCGTGTGATGTTTAGATCTTGTCACATTAGAGTTATGCCATTTCTGACATCTCATGTTCATTCCATTTTCATGTAGTTCGTGAACCAGAAATCGAAGGAGTAGGACCCTTTTTTCCCTCCCAATCAATTCCACCACATATAGATCCAAATAAATTAAGAATCTACTTGATTGCCATCCTGGCAAAACTAGATCAAAAAGCATTTAGTTCAACAAAATTTTGTATGATATTAAATTAAGAAATGAAAAAAAAAAGAAGAAACACTTCATACAATATTTGTTAAGCAAGCGAATACTAATGTTTGACACTAACTTAATCTATCTATTAGTCATATTAATTGGTTGACATTTTCGGGTTATTATTGTGTCGGGTTTGTGTCTGTTAGCATGTCGTGTCTATAATTGACAAGCCTCTATACTTATTTAATACTTGAACAAAACCAAACTATGCCAACATATTGGCCACACTTCTCCAATCATTTCCCTTAAATGTGGAAAAAAATTTGGTAACATATTTAATATTGTGTCAAATGTTGTAGTTTCAAGATTGGAAAATTATGGTTTGTGGTAAACATTGAAATGGCAAGATATGTAGACTTGATCATTTGTCATTAATGAGCTATACTGGATTTATGCGGGGGATAAGTGTGACTTCTTTGAGTTCAATTGTCAAATAATGCAGATACATCTTCCATAGAAGATGATATTCTGTAGACTGATACACCCATGGGCATGCATTACTTGGATTGTATTCTTTATGCTATCTTCCAAATACTAATTCGGCAGTGAGTTTGAACTGTGAGACCTGCTCTTGAAGTGTAATGGATTTAGATTATTTTAGTCTTCTACTTATTAGGCAGTAAATTATGTGAGATCAAACTTTAAAAACTAAAATTGCATATGATCGTGATAGTTCTCATATCTTGCAGGTGTGTCATTCGTGGTTGTGTTCCTAAAAAGATTTTGGTCTATGGAGCATCCTTTGGGCCGGAACTTGAGGTGAGAATACAATTTATACCAGAAATACAAGATACAGGTAGTTTGAAGCTATCAAATTTTCATTTGGGTTCTATTTATTGACTGGCAAAGTTAATTTTCCCAGTTGAATGAAATAAAGGTTTAGAAAGTATCTAAATGTTCGTGAATTTAATTGACCAACACAGTGAAAGACTAAGTTTATTGCATGTGGAAGATTGGCAATTTTATTCAGATCGCTTAAAGATTAATCTTTTCCTTTGATCTTAATTTTCTGCTATGTTTTTTTATTCTGAATGTCTTGTGTTGTATTTTATTCTTGTATTTTTATTGACGAGACTAGTACTGGGACCTGGGTACCAAGCCTCTTTTACTTAGGTGGCAAATGGTAAAGAAATCTAAGGCTAAAATAAGTTAGCACTTGCATGGAAAATATTTGAATACTCAACTTGCTGAACTTCACCCTATCAAATACTGCTATTCATGGCCTGATCGGTTAAAAGTGTGTCATTCTGAAGAAGATTCCAATATATGTGGGTGGTATGTGCCCAAACTGATGATTGAGGTTCTGGGATATAGCATGTATTGGGCTTCCAAAAAAAATGTGACTGCAGTCAGGCAGACACATCTGAATATTCTTATTGTGGCTACCTGTTTTTGTTGTAGGTCAGTTTGACAGAGGATATGCAGAATTGATCTTCATGTCTCCTGTTCTTAATATTAGAGTTCAAATTAATGCTCTTTTTTCTTCTTCTCTTTTCGTTTATGTTTTTTTTAAGTTTAATTATTTGGAGATGGAATGCCATGATCATTATCTGTTTAGATTTAGCTATGTTTAATGGGTTGGCACTTCTATGCTTTTGTCTTTGTAGGATGCCAGGAATTATGGGTGGGAATTGAATGAGAAGATTGATTTCAATTGGAAGAAACTTTTGCAGAAGAAGGTTAGTGTTAAATTTTGTGATATGATTGTATCTGAGTAATAGACCGTATCATCATTCATCTATAACAAGATTCTATGTTAGCTCTAATTTGAGTTCATCTTTGCTTTACGCCATTGAAAGAAACTGTAATAGAAAATGTTTGTATTCCAATGAATTAATGTAGGTACATCGAGACAAAGAGTTGTTTTGCTTGGTGCAAGACCGGCCCAACACAGGAGGAAATTAGGCGGTTGTTTAGGCCCCACTAATAAAAAGGGCCCCAAAATTTTGAAAGTTTACAAATATAACCCAAGTCAATTTTAACTCATTAAGAATGTCTCATATGAAGGCCTATACCAACAAAAAAAACTCTAGACTAATTTTGGGCACAAAAATTTAATCCATTAATATCACATAATAACATTTTATAAGGAAAAAAAAAGAAAATATTTTTTGTACCGAATTTAGTAATCTTATATGGTGACATGATGGATCATAACTGTAAGGGGTAGAAATAGCTATGGGATTTCAGCCCTCCACTCGAAGGATTCCAGCTGACCTGGTGGCACTGAGCACTAGTAGCCTTTACCTCTCTTCGCCCGCAGGAGCTTGTCCCACATCGGAAGAGAGTCGTCTCCCCCCCTCGCATATAAGCCCTTGCACTAGTGGGTACCTCCTCCTTTGAGTGCAAGAGCTTATATGCGAGGGGGAAGACAACTCTCTTCTGATGTGGGACAAGCTCCCGCAGGTGAAGAGAGGTAAAGGCTACTGGGGCTCGGTGCCGCCAGGTCAGCCGGAATCCTTCGAGTGAGGGGCTGAAATTCTGTAGCGATTTCTACCTCTTATAATAACTATGGAATTGATAGTGGGATCTAACTAATAGCAGGATCCACTGTCTATCTAATAACAAAAAATGATAAGGTTGCCAAATAAAGTCACTAAATAAGGTCCATGTAATATTACATTTTTTATCATAATCTTAAAAAACTTAATCAAACATATACTCTATGAGAAATCCCTAATTCATAGAAAAATATGTTTAAAAGAGTGTCAATGACGAGACAACATAATTTGTGAAATAATCTTTGAATTTGAAAGTTTTGAAATTTTTTATTTAATTTAAAAATTAAGTCAATTAGTTATACTATCAATAAAAAATGATATGTTAGAAAAACTTCAATACGAATATAAAACAATTAATATGCATCCGAAAAAAAAAATAAATATTAAAAAATTTACATTATTATTAAAAAAAATTTAAAATAGTCTCAGTCGAATTTATCATTTTAGGCCTCAAAACATATCAAGCCACCCTTGGCTTGGTGTTCCATATTGTTAGGATAGTAATTTATCTAACATTCTTCTGAAAAGAGGGATCAGGTGGTACAAAATTGAAACATTGGATTTGAAAAGAAACCCAATGAAATATAGATTGGGAGAGGGCCTTTGTCAAATTAAGTTGTAAAACCATGATCTGTAAAGGTGATGTGATGTGGTTTCGCAGAAGGCAGCGTATTTAGATGTGTATGCTGCCTTGTCGATTAATGAGCAGGCCTCTAGAGGATTCTGTGGCTTCTTCCCTTTCTTTCCCTCTTTCTATTCTCTGTTGTGGATTCAAGTCAAGGCCCCTAGTGTGGTTCTGGGGTTTTCCCCATTTCTTCCTTCATGTATTTCTCTCATCTATCTCTCTTCTTCTTTTCTCATCTCCATCCTCTTCTTTCAGTATTAGTTTACCTGTTATATCTTCTCATGGGTTTTGCAGAGCATATCTCTCAATATTTTTCCTGTTCTCACTTCTGATGATTACATATATTTGCATATGTATATTAAGGTCATTTTAATTGGTCTTCATGCTTAGATAATGCAGAGCAAGCTTTTGTGTATTGAATTTCTTTACGTTTACCCTTCTTTATCTTTTCCCACATTGCAGACAGAGGAAATAATCAGGTTAAATGGAATCTACAAGCGATTACTTTCAAATGCGGGGGTTAAACTGTTTGAAGGAGAGGGAAAGGTAGTTGGTCCTAATGAAGTTGAAGTGACACAACTGGATGGTACTAAATTGCGCTACTCGGCAAAGTACATATTGATTGCAACTGGGAGCAGGGCTCAGCGTCCAGATATTCCTGGGCAGGTAGAGTTTCTGCTTCAAATCCAATATGGTTAGAAATTGATAGGACAATGAAATTTTATTTAGATGCATGCAAGAGATTATTAGTGTTTTATTGTCTTCTATTGCATCGTTTTATTTTGGATCATTGTTTTGTCTAAAGTCTAGCTTTGATTGAATTACTGAATTTCAAAATTCTTTTGGGGTGTTAATTAGTCATCTTGCCAGTATTTCCTCCTCGCCTCTGTCAAGTACCTCCTTTCTTTTCCCTTTTAATTGTTAGCACATCATCCCTCTCTCTCCCCCTTATCCTATCTAAGACCTCTTATTAATTCATTTCTTTTTTGGGGTTGGCATTTTTTAGGAGCTGGCTATTACATCTGATGAGGCTTTGAGCTTGGATGAGTTACCTAAGCGTGTTGTTGTACTAGGGGGAGGGTGTGCTCACCTCTTCATCTCTCTCTTATATTAATTTTGGCGAGGATGCTTGGCACTTTAGATTAATTATGATTCATTTGTGTTTTAGGTACATTGCTGTTGAGTTTGCTTCAATATGGCGTGGGATGGGTGCCACGGTGGATCTATATTTCAGAAAGGAACTTCCATTGAGGTTATAAAACTTTTGAATGTTTTCATGTTTTACCTTTTGGCTGTGGGCAGTTTACTGTTGTGTATCCAACACAACATTTCCTTTGGTATTTATGTCAATTATGAGTTTCTCAAGGCCACCTCAGTCATTTTGGATGCATTTGGTCGTAAGTTTGAAAATGTGTCACTAATGTTCATTGCTTTTAGGACATTTGTTGTAATTTGTAGTTATGCATAATTTCTTGGAAAAATCACCAATAATGCCTACTTTTTACTTTGAAAAACCTTTTAAGTCCTATCAAATTTCTCTTAAGACAGGTAAGTATTATTTCTAATATTTTTTCCCAGCTAGTCCAAGATGCCATCAACAATATACTTATCCCAGTCTTGTTCCTTTTCAGTTTATTCCAAAGCCAAAAATGTATGCAGGAGGATTGTCACCAAATGTGTATAATTCTATATAATGAAGCACACTATAAGTGCAATTGTTCTGTTGGCTTTCTAACAAAGGTTTTTCCAGTATCAGATCATTTTAGTTCGTGACGTGATAATAGAAACGCAACCATAAATTGTGAGCCAGAAATACAAGTGAAACGGAAAAGAATGCACAATTATAAGAAAATTGGGACTTTAATGTGTTTTCATGATTAAAATCTAAAGGGCAACTTTTTATTAAAATTTGAATTTTTTGAAATTCTATTTAAAAAGTAGGACTTAGTTGTCTTGATTCAAATTTATCAAACTTGCTGTTTTTCCAAAGGAAAAAATGGGATTTCTTATATTTTCCATTCTTTTTTGTTCATTTATCTATGTTAATTTTGGAGATAATATGAAATTTTGGATGTAGAGAAGAAGAACAATGAAAGTTGTTAGAGATTTTATATAAAACAAACAGAACTGAACACGTTTTTTTCAGTTATTTGCATAGGCTTGCAAATGTCATTTCCGTTATTTTATAAGAACACGCCATCTTGTATGTAATTAACACCTCCCAACGGGTGTAGCTCTACCAAAAAATGGACTACTATTTACATGGTGAACAGGGAACTAACATGTTTGAACTTAAATGATTGTGATGGTATAGTAGTGAACCATGACGAGTATGAACGTTTACATTCTTGTGCGCTGGGAGGATACTTAAGCACTTGTAAGGATTAATGCTTATTTATTGTCTTGTTTGTAAGAAACAGTTTGATGGATATGCTTTTGTCAATATATATTTCAGATCACTTTTTGTCAACTTCCACTTGTGCACGATGAGGCCTCCTCATCTTGCTGGTGTATGGCATATGTTTTTTGCCATGTCGTACATTAATTTGTGTTCTAAGTATTTGATGCACATTCCATGTGTTCATCTTCTCCAAAAAAAAAGAATGTTGCGTTTTGTTTTGAATGTGACACTGATGTTAATGCCTTTTTTTTTTGTTTGGAATTCTATTAATGGCAGAGGCTTTGATGATGAAATGAGAGCAGCAGTTGCAAGAAATCTAGAAGGCCGGGGAATTAGTTTGCACCCAAGGACAACCTTGACGGAGGTACTTGTATATTTTCTGATATTTTGGATGTCATCTGTAGCTGACTGATGGGCTTCCTGCAATTTCTCTTTTAGATTGCATGTTCTATTGTTAACCTTTTGACTGAGAGCAAATTTTTTATTCAGCTGGTTAAAACTGAAGATGGCGTAAAAGCTCTCACAGACCATGGTGAAGAATTGATTGCGGATGTTGTACTATTTGCCACTGGTAATTCCATGCCCTCTTTATTTGATTTTTTTTAATGCCACATGGAAATAATGTGGTCACATGTAGGCATTTGTTTTTGTTTTTGTTTTTGTTAGTGAGCTTGCCTGAAATATGGAGATCATATTGCTTGAATCGGATCTAAAACTTATCAGGTCAACATTGTTTTAAATCTCATCTCAAAAGTCACCCAAAGTGCATATAGCCCGGCAGGGGCGGAGCCAAGATTCTATATTAGAGGGGGCAAAAATGCAACTGAAAAGATTAACCAACTGGTGTAAAAAAAATTTCTGGACCTCCATTAATGAGGACTAAATCGATTGTTATTTTCATTAAAAAACTTAATAAGTTAAAGTATGAGTAATATATTAAGATCCAAGACTTGATTACTATATTAAACTTAAAGCTTGTATGAATTCTACAATGACAAAATATGAACAAAGAAAGACAATATTAAGGACTATTTCAACTCCATCATATATTAAAGTGGAACATTGCAACTTTGTTCAAATCTCAAGAAGTATCTATAATTCATCAATTTTATGATAAAGTTGATGCACAATTTGCTTTTAATGTTGTTGATCGATAAATTTTTTTGTGGAAGAGCATAGATGCTTTTGGTTTAGTATAGTTTATCATTTGCATCTATTCGTGGGTTACTAGCTTACGAGCCACTAACGTACTAAGCAGGAATGGGGGACAACTATAAAATGATTTTTCTTGAAAATAATAAATGTCTTAAATAACAGAGGTATTGTCTTTAGTGTATATATGAGTTAGGAAATTTCACATTGGTTTTATTCAGTCAAAAAATAAAATATTTGTTTTAGTAGATAAAGGTGCGAGTGGACCACTAACTTACAGGAAAAAAAGAAATTAGGGCAGTGTATAAATTTCGCAGAACATAAGGGGGCAACATAATATATTAATGATAGTTTTGTTTCTTTAGCAATACATATGGACAACTCCTCAAAATTAGTGGGGGCAACTGCTCCCATACCAGCACACATAGCTCCGTGGCTCTGCCCAGTCGCGTGTTGATGTTTACTATCTTCCATTTCTTGATGCACATTCTTAGCTTGTTGATAAAACTATATCTTATTGTTTAATTTGCTTATAAAACTAAGTATAGAGTGTATTTATGTTGTTAATGGGTGTTGGAGGTGGGGTGGGACACATCTTTGTGTTAGGAAATTGATCATTTGTAATTGGCTAATTCTGTAAGGTCACATTGTAACTCTCAACCTAAGTTCATGGTTATGATACTTCAAGTTCAAGATTCGAAATTTTCAAAGAAGGAAGGAGTTTAAGCTTCAAAGTCATACCATAAAGACCACCCTTGAACTTTCAAAGCTTAGAACATGTAATGCCCTAGATATCTTAGAACCTTGGTTTTATACTTTGGTTCATTTGGTTGTTTAAAATGAATTTAAGATTATCCGTGAATGACTCATAGGTTTTTTCATGAAAGGATATTTGAAACATTGGTACTTGGTTTGAAAACATAGTTTGAGTCATGTATTATATCGTTACTGAGCAACACTCGTTAGTGAACAATGGACAAATGTTTGCTTGGTTTCTAGTTTTAAGACCAGTAGGGACCGCCTAACCCCACATTGGTTGTGTGCATACCGAGAATCTTGGGTGCATCCTTGAAGATTGCCCGAGACCTACACAGTTCATTGCGGTGATCACGTCTAGTTCTCCAGACTTCAGTGGGTATATTTGGAGGAGAAATTCAAGTATTGGTTGAGTATAAGACTTGTATCCTTATAATTGACTTTGAGAATAGTGGATTAAGTTAGGTGAATTGAGATTAATTTCGTGGCTTTTTTGAGGGTTTTTCCACATTAAATTGGTCGTATTGTGGATGATCTCTTTATCACTTTTATTTTTAATACACACACGCAAAAACACACACACACACAAAATGTGTTTGATAGAATGATTCATTAATTTAGAATTATACATATTCATCATTGTGGTTAAATTGGTGGTTGTCTCGTTAAAGGGATAAGGTGGATTGGATTGTTGATATGCACACATTGCATCTAATCATCAACGTTGGGTTGTTCTTGAAAGACAAAGGGGTTCAAAGGACTTAATTGACCAATTAATTAGTTTGGTAGTTGTGGTTAATAGGTTTAAAATCAATGAGTGTTCAAGTGGAAAGTGTCATAAACCTATTCGCTTCCCCCCCTCCTCCTTTCTAGGTCGGTTGGTGTAGTTCCACATGTATAATTGTGACGAGAAGATCTTTAATACACTTCAAATTGTTCAAGTGGGCTGTTGTGGGTAGTCGTAAGAAACACTTTTCATTTCATCCCCACAGTTCCGCTTCTTGCTCTAAAAATGAAGAAAGACTTGTCGGTAATCGGCATCCCTTATTGATTGAGCTAACAGAGGGCATTGAAGGTGTTAAGTTTGGAAGAATAACATAATATTAAAGACAATACTTAGGGAGAAATAGATAGAGGTTAAAAAAACTTAACCTAGCTCTCATACATCGATTATATTTATAGTTAACTTACAATAATAAGAATTATACATACACCCTCTTTCTATTAACAATTTATACATACTACCCTACTATTCTTAACACTCCCCCTCAAGTTGGACTATATATATCATATAATCCAAGTTTGGAACAAATAACTGTAAGTCGTGTATTACTCAATGCTTTGGTAAACATATCTGCAAGCTGATCTTCAGATTTTACAAATGGAGTTGCAATCTCCTCAGCTACTATCTTATCCCGAATGAAGTGACAATCAACCTCAATATGCTTGGTTCTCTCGTGAAACACAAGATTGACAGCGATATGGATAGTTGTCTGGTTATCACAAAACAACTGTAAAGGAAGTTGAATTGGAAACCCAATTTCCTGGAGGAAGTGTAGTAGCCAAGTCAACTCATTCGTCGTATGTGTCATTGGCCTATACTCAGTCTTAGCACTGGATTTTGCTACCACGGGTTGTTTCTTACTTTTTCATGAGACAACATTACCTCCTAAGAAAGTACAATAACTAGTGGTTGATCTTCGATCAAAAGGAGAACCAGTCCAATCAGCATCAGAGAAACCTTCCACTCTAAGATGTCCATTAGCTCGATATAACAGCCCAAATCCAGGAGCTCGTTTGAGATATCGCAGAATGCGAATAACTGCCTCCCAATGTGGTACTCTAGGACATCTCATGAACTGACTTACTATACTGCATAGGAAATATCCGGTCGAGTAATAGTGAGATAATTAAGCTTCCCAACCAATCTGCGATACCGACCCGGATTCTTAAACAATGCACCATCATCCATCAATAATTTTTGATTCGGATCCATAAGAACATCAATCAGTCTACCACCCAGCAAACCTGTTTTCTCAAGCATATCAAGTACATATTTTCTATGGGATAAATAAATACCCTGTTTAGATCGAGCCACCTCAATACCCAAAAAATACCTGAGTTTTTCCAAATCTTTAGTATGAAATGCATCCTGTAAAAATATTTTTAATTTGACAATCCCCTGATAATCATTTCCAGTAATCACAATATCATCTACATAGACCACCAATAGAACATACCCAACATCTGTCTGTCTATGAAACAGAATGATTTGTCTGACATCGAAGAAGACCAAACTCTAAAACTGCATCTGAAAACTTATCAAACCATGCCCTCGGTGACTGTTTCAAACCATACAAAGATTTCTTTAACCGACATACACTCTTACTATACTCCCCCTAAGCATTAAACTCAGGTGGCTGCTCCATGTATACCTCTTCAACTAAGTCACCATGGAGGTGTTGGGATTTAATACGATTTAAATCCACTAATAAACACACACAATCGAAGAACAAATCAAGAATATAAAGCAATAAGAAACAAGAAAGAACGAGACACAGATTTTACGTGGTTCGGCAATTTGCCTACGTCCACGAAGCTGCAGGGATTTCACTATTGAGAGTTTTGAATACAGAGAGCGGCTGTACAATCCACAATTAACCCTAATCACCAAAACAACAGGGTTTATATGTCCTACGCACTGGGCTGTATAACGGGCCCAAAAATTTTTCTTCGGGGGCGTTGCCCCCGAAGGCTTGTCCATGAGCGCTACGGCTTGGGCCTATCAGCCCAAGCCTTTGCTCCATGGACTAAGCCTCAGAAAAATTTTCATTAAAAACCACACAACATTACTTCGGGTCGAGTCATCATCCGGATCGCATATACAAACTAGACTCCATAAAAAAAACCAACAGGAGGAAAGCATTCTTGACGTCTAACTGAAACAAGGCCCAATCAAGATTAGCAGCTAAAGAAATCAAGATACGAACAGAGAAAATTTTGACAACAGGAGAAAAAGTCTCCTCATAATCAACACCATAAGTCTGAGTAAAAATCCATTGCAGTAAGTCTGGCTTTGAGACGTTTCACAAAACCATCTGGATGAAATTTAACAGTATACATCCAACGACATCCAACAGTTGTTTATAAAGGGGTAAAGGAACGAGATCCCAAGTTCTATTATGATGTAAAACATTCATCTCCCATAGCTTTTCTCCAACCCGGATCAGATAATGCATCCTGTAAATGCTTAGAAATAGATATAGCAGATAATTGAAAAATAAAATAAGAGAAGACAGCAGACAAGGCATCATATGAAACAAAATGAGAAATGGGATGATTAGTAACACACGAACGAGTACCTTTGCGAAGAGCAATAGGTAAAGAATCTAAATTACCTGATGTACCAGAATCAGAAGGCGGCAAGAAAGACGGTATGGACACCTCAGTCGATGGGCGAGGACGACGAGAGTAGACACGGAGAGGTAAAGGAGATGGTAACACAGTGGGCAGCGGAGATGGTGGTACAGGAGATGTTCTAAAGTTTAGATCCAAAGGCTAAGAAGGTGCTGGAAAATAGGGAACAAATTCTTCAAATGTGACATCGGCAGTAGTAAAATATCGGTGTAGAGAAGGACTGTAGCAACGATATCCCTTCTGCGTGCGGAAGTAATCAAGGAATACACATTTGGTAGCTCGAGGGTCAAGTTTGTCAAACCCAAGACCCAAATTGTGAACATAACAGACATAACCAAAAATCTTAGGAGTCAGGAAAAATAAGGGCTTACCAGGAAAAAGAACATAATATGGACTTTGTCCATTGAACACAGAAGATGGCATACGATTAATAAGATGACAAGCAATAAGAACAACATCACTCCAATAATAGCGGGGAATATTCATCTGAAATAATAGGGCACGAGTGACTTCCAACAAATGACGATTCTTGTGTTCAGAAATATCATTTTGTGGAGAGGTATAAGCACAAGAGGTCTGATGAATAATGTCAATTTTACTAAGATAAGCTGAAAAAGGATCAGATTCATATTCCCGAGCATTATCGGAACGTAAAGTACGTATACAGTAACCAAATTGAGTTTTTATTTCCTTACGAAAGGTCTCAAATATAGAGAATAATTCAGACCAAACTTTCATAAAAAACAACTAAGTCACATGAGAATAGGCATCTACAAATGTCACAAAATAAGGATATTTATTAGATGAAATATTCTTTATTGGACCCCATACATCAGAATAGACTAATTCAAATGGACTAGACACACGATTATTGACTCTAGACTAAAATGACACAAGGTGATGCTTACTAAGTTGACAAGTTTCACAAGACAAAGACGACACATAACTAAGACTTGGAACTTGGCGCTTCAGATTCTGGAGAGAGGGATGTTTAAGACAATAATGCCATTAAAAAGGAGACAACAAGGTCTGTAGAGCCCAGGTAGGTGAATCAAAGTCAAGGAAATATAGGCCACCAGCTTCATGCCCCGTACCAATCTTTCTCTTCGTCTTGAGATCTTGAAAGATACAATAAGAGGAATAAAAGGTTACAGAACAATAGAGAACGGGTAATCTTGCTAATGGAAAATAAACTAAAACAAAATTAAAGAACAAATAACACGGAAGATAGGGACATATCAGGACTCAAGTGAGTTGTCCTCAGACCTGAAACTTTAGAACAAGTACCATTAGCAAAGAGTAACACTACATGTGGAAGTAGCAGACTGATAAGTAGAAAAAATATCAGACGCACCAGTCATGTGGTCAGAGGCGCCAGAGTCTATGATCCAAGGACTGCGAGTGGAGGACAACAAACAAGTGGAAGCAGTATCTGACTGGGGAAAAGTAGCAGTGGAAGGAGATGGAATAACCTGTTGTTGGGACAGGAACTGAGCATACTCTTCTCGTGTAATAGTAATCGACCTAGTGTCTGGTGGAGCTGACCGAGGCACGGAAGCCGTAACAGAGGTGTCATCCTGATAAGTAACCTGATTTGCAGTACCAGAAGATTTTTCATGTAAATCCCAACAGAAATCAACAGTATGTCCTCCACGACCACAATGAGTACAGGAACGCGGTCCACTACGGCCCCCACGACCCCTCGTACGACCTCCTCGACCACCTCGATGATCATCATTGTGGCTACTAGAAACCACAAGAGCTGAGCGATCAGTGGAGACACTATGATCAATGCCTGAAGGAGAAGACAATGTAGCACGCTGTAAACGAGAGAAAACCTCGAGTAGTGATGGAAGACTAGAAGCACTCAAAATTTGAGAACGAATAGCCTCATATTCAGGTTTCAATCCTACCAAAAATCTAACAACATTCAAGTCTTCATGTTATTTCTGTCAAATCGTTGCATCAGTAGTAAAAGGATGGTAAGTCTTCATCTCCTCACAAACTCCCCGAACATGAGAGTAATAATCTGCAAGACTCAGAGTACCCCGTTCCAACCGGAAGTACTCCTTGCACACCTCATACGCACGGGTAAAATTACCTGAACCAGAATACATAGTAGTCAAGTGATCCCATATCTCTTTGGTAGTATCAAGATAGAGCAGAGAAGGGCTAATACTAGGCTCAATGCTATTCAACAATAAAGAGATAATCTGAGCATCCTCTTGTTCCCACTGATCATACCCAAAAGTGTCTTCCTTAGGTTTAAGATTCACTAAATATTTCTTAAATCTTTTATCTCGAAGAAAGACTTGAACAGATCGGGACCATAACGTGTAATTAGTCCCGTTGAGTTTGACAGAGGTTATATGACCATTGATAAGAATAGGAGGAGACAAAGATGGAGTGGTATTTTGTTTGGGTTCAATAATAGTGCCACAAATAGCAAAGAAAAAGTGTTGCAATGCTGAATCGGGATGGAAATAAGAGCTGGATCACTAAACCAGACTAGTTGGACTTGTTGGAGGGCTGAACCGGGCTAGAAATAGGGGCTAGACCACTGAACCGGGTTGGAAATAGGGACTGGAGGGTTGAACCAGGCTAGAAATAGGGACTGGAGCACTGAACCTAGTTGTTTGAACCCTTTGGATTGTTGAACTAGACCAGTTTTAACTGCTAGATCACAGAACCGGGCCGGTTTAACTTCTTGAACTGCTGAACCGGTTCGGTTTAACCTCCTGAACCACTGAACCGGGCCGGTTTAACCTCCTGAACCAGGCTGGTTTAATCTCTTGAACCGCTAAACTAGACCGAACCGGTCTTAAGATGGACCGAGTCTGGGTTGAACTTAGACTTAAAATAATTTAAGTTGATGGACTTGACCCAATCCAACCCAACCCGTTGGACTTCTTCTCCTTCGTTGGGATTAGGGTTCCCAGAGAAAATTTCCTTTGGTCTTTTACGGCGCCACACACAGACAACAGACCACCACCACCACAGACGACACCACACACAGACGAGAACTGCGACACACCACCACAGTTGCACCACCACCACGATGATTCTTCTACTGAGCCTCTTCACCACAACAAACAACAAACCACAACCGAGCTTTGGCAAACACAGTCGAACTTCGGCGAACACAGAGACACCACAACAGACCACTAACAACACCACGAACGACCGAACTTCGCCAAATATAGTATCACCACAACAGAAAATTAATTTATTCAGAATATATATTTATGATTGTAATACTAGGCTCTGATACCATGTTAAGTTTGGAAGAATAACATAATATTAGAGACAATACTTAAGGAGAAACAGAGAGAGATTAAAAAAACTTAACCTAGCTCTCATACATTGATTGTATTTATAATTAACTTACAATAATAAAAATTACACATACACCCTCTTTCTATTAACAATTTACACATACTACCCTACTATTCTTAACAGAAGGGATCCTCCTTATTGGAATACACAAATGGGAGTGACTTGAATTGGAGCATGCTGACCGTAGTACCCTTGTTGGGAGGAGCGGTTTGTTTCCATCTGTCTTGGCTGCTTTATGATGTGTTGTGCCACCTGTATATAGACTGGGTGCAAGGCCTCGAGCAAATTTTCACAATTTTAGAGAGTCTAAAATATGATTCTTTTCCCAATAACTTGCCTCTGTGATTAATTGAAGAACTTGACTGCACTTCTTTTTTCTTTATTCCCTGAAGAATTACTGCCCCTTCACTACCCCTTTTTCTATAGTGACACTAAAACTGAATTACGTGCCTCAAAACAAGTTTAATATGTATTTCACGCTCCATGTCATTAAATGGTATCTTGTCATGTCCGCTAGAGCACGTGGAAAACCCTTATGAAGCATGCTTGCAATGGTTTCACTGGTTTCTCATAATACTTGCCAAAAGGAAAAGAAACTCGAAGAGGGATAGAAAAGGAGGACTATTTGGATGCTTCTACTTTCTTCAATTAATGTAACAAAGTTAAATTTGAAGGGCCTAGAAGGAAGGTGCTCCCAACATCAAGGACTTTTTCCACACAATTTAGTAGTAAAGGCACACACTTGAATGTGGAGTCAAAAGGCGTGGACAACAGGAAATGAAAATTAAGGAACAAGAAAATATGCTCTTTACACCTCATTTATTTAGTCAAGTCTCTAATGTTGGGAGTCTAAAGAGAGCTTGTATCCCACATAGCATGATACTCGAGGTTGATTTATGTGCTTACAAGGTCTTTCCATTCATTATCAATTGATTTTAGGTTGGATGCTCTAACGTGGTATGGGAGTCCAGCCTTAGGTGATCAGTGGGCCAAGTTCCTTACCCATTTGAATTTCCTGGTATGCATGTTTGTTTGTTTACTTGATAGCCCCACGTGTGCGTCCAGGTGCCTAAGGGGTTGGTGTAAAAAACCTATATTTCATATCGAATGATTAGGGCGACGCAAGGTTTGTTCCTCTCCAATCATTGACAGTTGGTTTTGGTTGGATGCTATAATAGGGAGCACCTTCCTTATAGGGTGTAAAATTTTGCAAAACCTAACTTATTAGTCTGCTCGAAGAATGTACACATTAGGATACTAATTAGGACTGCAACACACTTGTGGAAATGATGTGTCATCATATTGCTGTCTTGACAAAAAAAAATGAGAAAATAAAAAAGAGAATCAATTGCTGCAAATGAGTAATTTGGGTCACTCTAGCCACAAGGAACCTAACCCTCTAACCTTCCCAACTATTAGCTAATAAGAGCTTTAGCTGCTATGCATAGTAATGAAAATATGCTTTCATTATGCCTCTATACCTCTAGAAACAACAGGATGACTTTTCAATTAATCTGGAAAATGATTATTAAGAAATGCACCAATAGCATCCAATTCAGTTTGCCCTAATGCCTATTCCTTCTGTGTACAATTAAAGTTGACTTCACATGGTTTTATGCATTCCCTATCTTCAAAGCTTAATTATGTTATTCCCTGAAATCTGAAAAATCTCTTGCCATTTTTCTAACCTTATTCTTGTCCTCATTTTCATTGTTCAGGTGTTGCAAATTCGTGCAAGTGTGGATTTATGTAATTATCATACATATATAATTTGAATCCTGGTCACACAAATTAAACTTCTTCAAGTTTATTCAATTTCTGAATTTCCTGGAAATCAGAACAACTAATGTATTTGCTTTATCATTTGGTGGGATGAACGTCACATTAAATCTTTTTGTAGCTTATAGGGCTCGTTTGTATGAATTTTTAGGGAGGATTTGGATTGGCTTCCCTATACCCTTTCAAACCCAAATCCCTCCTTACAAAAATGGGATTCAATATTAAATCCAGTCCATAACCATGTTTGGTATGCAACATACACATCTAGGACCCACGTATATATCACAATTATTAACAACCATTTGTTTTATAAATGACTCTGTTGCTCCTTGGTCAATCAAATCCATACCCATGTCTGTTTATGTACATTTTCTTGTGTCCTTTTGGATATCATATTTGATNAATACTTGCCAAAAGGAAAAGAAACTCGAAGAGGGATAGAAAAGGAGGACTATTTGGATGCTTCTACTTTCTTCAATTAATGTAACAAAGTTAAATTTGAAGGGCCTAGAAGGAAGGTGCTCCCAACATCAAGGACTTTTTCCACACAATTTAGTAGTAAAGGCACACACTTGAATGTGGAGTCAAAAGGCGTGGACAACAGGAAATGAAAATTAAGGAACAAGAAAATATGCTCTTTACACCTCATTTATTTAGTCAAGTCTCTAATGTTGGGAGTCTAAAGAGAGCTTGTATCCCACATAGCATGATACTCGAGGTTGATTTATGTGCTTACAAGGTCTTTCCATTCATTATCAATTGATTTTAGGTTGGATGCTCTAACGTGGTATGGGAGTCCAGCCTTAGGTGATCAGTGGGCCAAGTTCCTTACCCATTTGAATTTCCTGGTATGCATGTTTGTTTGTTTACTTGATAGCCCCACGTGTGCGTCCAGGTGCCTAAGGGGTTGGTGTAAAAAACCTATATTTCATATCGAATGATTAGGGCGACGCAAGGTTTGTTCCTCTCCAATCATTGACAGTTGGTTTTGGTTGGATGCTATAATAGGGAGCACCTTCCTTATAGGGTGTAAAATTTTGCAAAACCTAACTTATTAGTCTGCTCGAAGAATGTACACATTAGGATACTAATTAGGACTGCAACACACTTGTGGAAATGATGTGTCATCATATTGCTGTCTTGACAAAAAAAAATGAGAAAATAAAAAAGAGAATCAATTGCTGCAAATGAGTAATTTGGGTCACTCTAGCCACAAGGAACCTAACCCTCTAACCTTCCCAACTATTAGCTAATAAGAGCTTTAGCTGCTATGCATAGTAATGAAAATATGCTTTCATTATGCCTCTATACCTCTAGAAACAACAGGATGACTTTTCAATTAATCTGGAAAATGATTATTAAGAAATGCACCAATAGCATCCAATTCAGTTTGCCCTAATGCCTATTCCTTCTGTGTACAATTAAAGTTGACTTCACATGGTTTTATGCATTCCCTATCTTCAAAGCTTAATTATGTTATTCCCTGAAATCTGAAAAATCTCTTGCCATTTTTCTAACCTTATTCTTGTCCTCATTTTCATTGTTCAGGTGTTGCAAATTCGTGCAAGTGTGGATTTATGTAATTATCATACATATATAATTTGAATCCTGGTCACACAAATTAAACTTCTTCAAGTTTATTCAATTTCTGAATTTCCTGGAAATCAGAACAACTAATGTATTTGCTTTATCATTTGGTGGGATGAACGTCACATTAAATCTTTTTGTAGCTTATAGGGCTCGTTTGTATGAATTTTTAGGGAGGATTTGGATTGGCTTCCCTATACCCTTTCAAACCCAAATCCCTCCTTACAAAAATGGGATTCAATATTAAATCCAGTCCATAACCATGTTTGGTATGCAACATACACATCTAGGACCCACGTATATATCACAATTATTAACAACCATTTGTTTTATAAATGACTCTGTTGCTCCTTGGTCAATCAAATCCATACCCATGTCTGTTTATGTACATTTTCTTGTGTCCTTTTGGATATCATATTTGATTTTTTTTTCCTTCCTAACTTATGAAATAAAACATGAATATTGATAAAATATAACTAGAAAAAAAGCTATCAAGACAACTTTCAACTCCTATAACAAAATTTATATTAAGGAATGGGAACATTTAAGCAAGATTAAATGGATAATGTTCTAAGAGGTATAATTGTCTTTTACCATCCTTGACCCGTTAACCCTCTTCTAAACTCTCCAGTTTGACGAAATCCATGTTCATGGGTTTCAGTCTCCGAGCTAGCTGCGGGATGGGCTTGGTAACCCAAGCTTGAAAATTGAACCCAAACATGGGGTTTGGGGGTCCTATGGACTATTTTCCTTGAACCCTGGACACAATCCCTGTGAAACCCACAAAACAAACAAGCCCATAGTGCACTCGGAGAATAGATTCCCCCCCTCCTTCCCTTCTCCTAAAAAGCACACACAAAGCTAGGATTTGGAGGGTGCACACAATGGCCCAAACCCTCCTCTAAGATGTGTTATATTTTATTTGTTATTCTCATTTCTTGCATAAATCTTATTTCTCTTGACATGCATGACATTTAACTTGACTGAAATTTTCACCTTGCTGCATTCCTTTGAATATTGGATAGAAATTTAGCTTGCTTGAATTTATCCATCGTTGCAGTGGTTGATTTTTGAAACTAGGAGTGGTGATTAGTTATTTGATACATCAACCCAGTCCTTTATGATCCATTTAGATAATCCAGTTGAATTTGCATATCTGGACTTAGTAGGTTTTCATTATTAACCATGAAGGCTCTTCATAAACAGGTCAGATTTGAGTTATGTTCTATGCCAAAAAGCATATGTATCCGCTATTAGTACATTTTCTTATTTCATGTTTGCTTTCTTTAGTTGCATTTTTCGGTTGTAAAATAAAGATTATTTCAACTTTGGAGGTATATGCAAATGACCTAAAACTCTTCACCCATGCTCCACATAAAAGATTTGTGCGCTGATTCTTTTGTATGAAACCAAATTTTATTAATAAATATGATCAAGTATTACAAAATCCGAGCAAAGGTGGACAAGCCGTCCAACTCCAACTCCATAAAAGCTGGTCCAACTCTATAAAAAGGGACATTTGCCAACACAATAGCACAACTGATGTGGCCGGCTTTCTTAATTCCTTCCTTATTTCAATTTTTGCTATTGCTAATTTAACATTCCATCTAATCTTTAGCCTTCCTTAAGGCTTAGACTATTTGATTCTAAGGCTTTTCTTTGAACTTTTATCATAGCTCTACCCAAACTTTAATTTCTTAAATAAAACTGTATCTTATCAACATCTTCAATAAAATTGTACTTTCAACAAAAGCATAAAAGATAAATATCTTGGATTCATTTAGTAAACTCTTGCGGAAATATGGGGAAAAAAATTAAAATGCTTTGTGCTAACCTGTGATGAAAACCATTATTATTAGTAGGAAAGCCCGGCCTGCTTTTGCTATTGTTTTTCGGTCTATAACTAGTCTGTATTTGCTTTGCCGAGCTTTTGAAACGTAATTATAGGTGGTTTTGTATATAGGGGTACTTGAAACAGTAAATGTTCTTTTTCATCTGTTAGAAACCTGATTTAATATTCGGCTCATGGATGATTTTGTTATACTGCATTAGCATATAAATTCTAGAAATCAAGGAGAACTTCCCCCTTTCTTTCTCCCCTTTTTTTTGATATATCAGGGGTTTTCCATTGGTTGCAGGTCGAACCCCTAACACAAAGAGGTTGAATTTGGAGGCTGTAGGTGTTGAGCTTGACAGGACAGGAGCGGCGAAGGTAGCTTTTGCTTCAGCATTTTCTGTGTTTCTATTCATTGAATGTTCTACAACTTGTAGGAAGTAAGGATCAAAATTTCGTTTCGGTACATAGTTTTGGTGAGCTTGAAAATGGAAACATTTTAGTAATGTTTTGAAAACATTTCGGAAACAAGATGGAAACAATGAAAAAATTTGAAAATTAGTTTCCGAAATATTGGTCAAAACAACCAAAACATTCCGAAACATAGGTCGAAATACCTCGAAGCGTAAAAATTTGTTTTGAAACAAAATTTAAGTCCTTGGTAGGAAGTATACAAAATGTGAACAATGGGAAAATGGAAATCAAGCATTTAGTCTCTAGGAATCCAAGTGTTAAAACTATATCAAGTACAAGAGTTAGGTAAAGTTGTTGCAATATGACAAAAATGGTTTTTAATAAATAGATGTCTAACTCATTTCTCGACATGATAATGGTACATTGGCTTTGTTCTCCGACATATCTTCATTTTATTTGCAGCATGGTGATTGATTGGTTCGCTTTTGATCTGTCTTTGCCTCCATTTTTTCTTAATTTTTGTTTTACCTAAATATGCCTTTTGCATATATATGGAGTTTCCAACTTTATACCTGAAGTTTCCTGTGTAGCTTTTATGCAATCCATTTTATTGGCAAATATTTCCCATGTTTCGTTACCCACCTTGACAGCATTCTGGTAATATGCTTTGTATATTCTTGTCTTTGTTGTTTCACAAGTTTTTACTGAAATGGCTGCCACGTTAATTCAACAGTAGCTCTAAGTGGTGTATCCCTGTCATCATGGGCGAAGCCAAGTTGTGGCCTAAGGGGGCCATGGGCCCCCTCAAGTTTTGAGAATTATGCATTATAACCATTAAAATTATGTTTATGGTTACATGGGATTGTTAAAAGTTATTGTTTATACCCTTCAATTGTGAACTTGAATTTATTTTACCGTATTATTTTTAGTTGACCACATTGCCCCACTAACCATTCAAATCATGACATTTTGCATAAATAGTAAAATTTTGGTTTGTACAAATGGATAAATTTTGGACTCCTTTAAATGGTTAATGATGCAATGTGTTCGATAGTAATCTATGGATAAAGTGAAATCACTGTTATAGTTTAAGATGACAAAATATAATATATCCGAACACTACATATATAGGGTTTAAAACTATATATAATACATTTGAGATATTTGCTCTCTCTCTCTCATTGCGTTTCCCAAAAGTATGATGAAATCTAATAGTACTCCAGGAGTGTGTGAAGAATTTGAGTTGAAATTAATGATTGATTCGATAAATTATATGATTTTTACTTTTAATTAATTCGAAAAATTTGAAGTAAGTTTACCGATTTCATTGAAATTGAATAATATTACAATAGATCGTGTGAGCTTGGCCCCCTCAAGATGAAATCATAGCTCCATTCTTGCATGTTACATATGCATTTTCTGTCGTTGAATCTAGTTTCGTGCATTTTCTGTTCTTCTTTACTTCAAATCTAGCTTCATTTTAGATTGTGAATTTTAAGTCTATGCTCTGATATCATTTTTATAACAGCCCAGGCTCTGTAACGTTATTAGGTAAATATCGACAATTTACATTCAATTAAATATTTCAGGGTTCTAATTACCCTTATTAAATTACAATTGGCAATTTAGTCTCCAACTACACATAAATCTTAAACTTCAGATATTAAAAAAATTGTGCCAGGATTTGTGAATCTTCAATTCTACAAATATCTTAATCTCGATCTTCTCTTCAAAGTCAACCTGAACACAATTCATAATTCAAGGATCACAAAAACATCAAATATTTGAAGTAGCATATATGCATCAACTTACCCCTACTCCACATATCACTTGACATGCGAGACCTGAACCTATACCTAACACCTCAACGACCACCCCTACCTCAACCCGAGCCCATGGGTTTGTTGGACTGTCGATGCATCAGACTATTGGCTATGATCTAATCCCTAATCCGCACAAAACATGGTCGACATACTCAAAATATTTTTAATTGGAATTTCAAAATGATAGCTCAAACTAAATAGAATACGAATTGGGAATTATCAAGGAATCTCTTTGTAAAGAGATTTTAGATAGAGAATATTATATACTACCCCGTACCTCAAATCGTCAACCGATATCAATAGATTAATACCTCAAACCACCCCAAACTGCAAATCAAATTTCATAAAAGTCGGAACTAACACCACCATTTGATTTTTCTCTAAGCCTCACAAGTTGTCTTTGATTGTTCTCTCTTAGTTTTCTCTCTTTCTTCCATGCTAGTTACTGTGAAGTCTGCCTCCTTTTTATACATGTTGTTCACCCACCCAACACTTAGCATTAGTAGTCCTCATAAGTTAAGGACACATCATTTCCTTAAGTCTTCAAATTGAAGACAATACCTCACACACTTGTCACTCCATTCATCACATTGCGTTCTTACTAGCAAGTCACATCACATAATGACATAACACTAAGCCACCATATTAGAATGTCGGTTAGCATCCATGCATGCTCTTTTCTTTGTTCTTCTTCTTCTTTTTTTATTTCTTTCCCTAAGGTTTATGACTTATTTTAGTATTTTAATTAATTGATTATCATTTGACCCCATAATTTTATAATCAAGTTAATTGTTATTAATTATTTTGTTAGGAACGAAATATTACAATATTCTTTCAAATTCTTTAGACATGGAAGCCCAAAAAGAAGCTACAAAACTGATTTTTCTCCATAATTCTTCCTAAGAAGTCTCTCTTTCCTAACAAATTTGTCAACCACACCACCCAAAACAATGCCAAGACTGTGCAACCCTCCATAAAATCTTCATTTTGCCACTTGATCTAGAGCCTTCAAAATGAATATCAAAATTCGAATACGAGTCTTAGGGCACACCCGAGGGATCCCAAATATACCCAAAAGCCTATTCCACAAATTGCGGAGACAGGAGCACTAATTGCAGAATGCAGAGACAGGAGCACTGCAAAAATAAGTGGTCCATGTATTCCTTCCCCATCTTACATATAATACCCGCTGTAGAAGAAAGTAGGATGGTCTTCGTCTTTGGAGCAAATAATTGGTATGGAGTTTCTTATATGAAAGCAACCACGCCAAATCTTGTACCTTTAAGAGATTGTTAGACTTCCAAACCATGAATGATGGATGGAAGATTGGAACGCAACGTTTATTATTCAAGGACTCAAAAATTCATAATCATATCACAATTTCGCATTCACTGTTAGTGCTATGAAACAGTTGGCAATATTCTTACGAATATATTGTTTGTGTCAGACAAGTGATAAGTCTTTAAGGTTTTCTGATCATCTCTTTTAGGTTGACGAGTATTCACGCACCAACATACCTAGCATATGGGCGATTGGTGATGTTACAAATCGCATGAATCTTACTCCAGTGGCCTTAATGGAAGGATCCTGTTTCGCGGTATGTATGTCAACTGGATCTTCATCAACAATAGATTGAATTTCCATTGCATATGTTATTGGATAATAATATGTATTTGGATGGATATGTTATTAGTTTCTTCATTTTCCTTGTTTCATTTCTTTTGCATTTCATGCCTGCAGAAATCTGTTTTTGGTGGACAGCCTACTAAACCTGACTACAGTAATGTACCTTGTGCAGTGTTCTGGTACCAGTCTCTCTCTTTCTTAAACAGCTTTTCAATTGCCTTTTCTTTGTCATGAAAATCATGTCGGATTTGACATCAATATAGTTACCTGCTTATATGAATATAATGGTTTTCTTCCTTTTGGTAAGTAGATTAGAGTAAGCACTGCACTTACGTCCTCTCCCATTTGGTTTTGGTGCAATATGATGATTGATTTATATGCCTTGTTCGAATAAGATTTTGGTCCACTTTGAGAGCTTGTGTTGTAGTATCTTAAATTTGATGTCAAGATGGACAGTTTGTTACTTATACGTTTCAAAAATTGTCAACATACATGCATAGGATCAACCAGTGTTATTTAAGGCGTAAAGCGAACCGAAGCGACCAAGGCTCCTAACGCCTAGGCGAGAAGCGAGAAGCGAAGCGACACGCTTTACCGAAGCAAAGCGAACAGTTAAAAAAAATATATATTTTAGTTTAATTACTTCTAAACAATCTAAGTTCTAATTTTATATATACTAAATATTTAAATGCAAGTAAAACCATAAACATTTAAATTAAAACAAACACTAATAATATCTCAAATCTTAATAACAGTCATAACTTAAACATTTAAATTCAAACAAATACTAACAATTGTATACATTTTCATATTGACAGGGTAGGACAACAAAAGAAGCAGAATCAGGACAGCAGGAGAATTAGCAACAAAAAAAAAAGAAGCAGAATGAGGATAAAAAAAACAAAAGCAACACAGGACAACAAAACCGAAGCAGCAACAGAATCAACAAAAAAAAATAGAAGCAGAATAAGTTAAAAAAAAAAACAGAAGCACAATGATCATGACAGGAGCAGAATCAATTGTAAACAATTTTATATGTAATTATATACTGAATAAAAAAAAAGCAGAACAANAATGAGCTAAAAAAAAACAGAAGCACAATGATCATGACAGGAGCAGAATCAATTGTAAACAATTTCATATGTAATTATATACTGAATAAAAAAAAGCAGAACAGAGGCACATTTCACATGTACTAAAATAATTAAACATGGTATAAGTATAGACCACTTTTTGGTACCATTTGTATATATATAAGAAAAAGGAAAAGTATAACCAAGACATATCAGAGACTTCTTTGTAGAAGAATCTATTATTTACCCCCATTCTTGATATTCCTGCTTCCTTTTTTTATCATAATTGTCATGCAGTCCCCTGACTCTCACATCCCACAAATATTCTAAATGAATTCAGCAACACAAGAAAAAAAAAGGAATGTGTTTTGTTCGAAACATTGTTTATTAGAAAAAAAAAAAAAATAGACCAGCAATAGTCTAAAAAAAAAGTCATTAGTGATTAAAAAATAAAAGAGACTACTAACTTGTTATCAGAAAAAAAAAAAAAAAAAGTGAAGCAGAATCGCCTTTTATAATAAAGCGTTCGCTTTTTTGCTTTTTCTCGCTTCGCTCACGTTCGCTTCGCCTGGGGTCCTCGAGGCGAGATAAGCTCGCCTCGCCTTGCTTCTCGCCTAGGCGAGCTTTTCAAAACACTAACCAGATGCATAGATTACCTGTAACCTTTCTCCCAGTGGTGGACTAGCATGGATCGCTGTACTGTAGTTCCCTTTAACGTTTGGTTTTGTGGGACTAGCTTGCCTTTTTCTCTTAGCTGATTTGTGAGACTTATCTTCACCCACATCATATATTTTTGTTTTTGGAGTTTATTTGGTATGGGATGGAGGTTTAATTTTTTTTTCTTTTGTTTAAATATTTTATGCTTTGGCTGAATGGGAACTTTGCAAATATACTCCTTCAGTAGCATCTCTTGTGTGACAAGTTTTGTTGGTGTTAATTCTAGAACAGGATGCTTCTTCTAGAATTGAAAATGAAAGCCGTATCATTAATCGCTGCTGATTTTGAAATATCCCCAATTGTTTTGAACTTCTATTTTAGGATCTAACCTTATTTATGGTGTTTATTTGAGGCTTATTGTCCTTTTTCTTTAGCAACTCTTTGAGGGGGCTTAGTTGACTCATTATTTTTATTCTATCACTTCCTTTTTGTTTGTTTCAAGAAATATGCTGGCGAATTCTTATTCTCTTTTTTCACTTGATTCCTGGTCACGTTAGTAATGTCCATTAATTTGGAGCTGAATTTGCTATCAATGTTGTAGTTTGGATTTTAAGGGATACCACTGTAATCTTGTGTATCCTATTACTTTGGGAGGTCCATGAGTTGATCTGCTTGAGTTTGTTTCTTGTATATTAAATTAGGAGTTACTCCTGCTGTTTGACATAACAAAGCTACTGGATTTGTTCTTTTGTTGAATCTTCTTCCTGGCTGGATGGAAAATTTCATAAACCACTGAATTTTCGTTTTTTATGTTTTATTCCACCTCATGCTTCAGGGTATGTTAGACTAGCATGTTGCAGTTCTTTTTTCTGTTGCACCTTGACAGAACATGAGTGTGGTGTTGGTTCAGAATCAATTTTCTCTTACCAGCGTTACTGTGGGAGGGTAGAACAACATTTGCAACCTTAAATTATACTTAATTATTGATAGGGCCTAAAGTTGTGCAACCCTTTTTATTTTAATTTAGATTAACTCATACGGAAATAATATTTCCGTGATCAACAATGTAATTTTTTATCAGACCGACTATCTACACTGTATATATAGTTATCTAATCCTTTATACGGACTGATTGAATACAGAAGTGTTTTTTGTGATCTCTCTCTAGATGAGGAATTGAGGAAATTTCTAATAACAGCGCTAATATTTTATCCATGTCATGCTGTAACATTATCTTGAATTCGCAGTGAAGTTGGTGTAATATCTATGTGGCAATTTACCTGTCTTCAGCTAACAAAGGTAGCTCTGGAAATAGTAAAGGCCATCTCAGTCAAAAAAGGATGGTACTTGAATGCATTTGAGTAATTGTAAAAAACCCGGAGCCACTTCAACCTTGACCTTTCCCACAATAAAGACACAATTTTATGAAGCAATTCACTTTTTACTTTTTTTAAATACAATATTTACTACGTTCGTATTTGTATAGTGTTGCCTCTTCATATCAGTTTGCTACGAGTTGCGGTCTATTTGCTTTTTCTTTTTCGATATTGTGTTCCGCTTTCCTCCCTTTTTCTGTGGTGGATGGGTGGGTGTAGGGAAAGGGGAGGGGGGGAGGGGGGGAGGGAATGTGGGGGTAGTTGTTAATTAGCGATAGGGTATATGCTTTAACTTAATTATGGCCACGATTCTTCTCGTGTCCTTTACTGTACATTGCATCTATATCTATTTATATGTCGCTGGCAACAGGTTTAGTTTGGGTTCATTTGAAAATTATCTGGCTGAAGTTTATTAAAATCTTTTAGTAAATGGTGTGAGGAGTCTGAAATTTGGATGGTGTGATTTAACTCCATTTGGGAAATCCATTTGAAGTAATTTATTGATTAAACTCTTTTGATGGAGCCTGGTTCATTGGGGATATCTGTCAGTGTCATACTGGAACTGCATTTAAGAATTATTTTTCTGCTGCTGTTCTGAACATTGATTATAGTTACTAATCATACTGGGAAAAGAATAAAAATGACTTTAGTTATGGTGCTGGGGATAACGATTTGCCTGTTTGAAAGTGTATTTTTTCATCCATATTTTTCAAGTCGTGGTCCTTGCATTATGTCCCATGGTGACTCCCTTGCTTATTAAGCTACTTGGAAATACCATTCACATGGTTTGCATATACTCTGTGTTATGTTGTCAAGAGTACCGATATCATTATATTTTGATTTTTATATTTCCACAGCTAAACAGCCCATGAATGCTGAAGGTGTAATTTTTTATTAAATTGTGTTGCAGTTGTTTGTGATGTGTTTAACTTATTTATTCTGTTACTTCTCAGCATACCGCCTCTTTCTGTGGTTGGACTCAGTGAAGAACAGGCTATAGAGCAGGCAAAAGGTGATATCTTGGTTTTCACATCAACATTTAATCCTATGAAGAACACCATCTCAGGGTATGTGATTGGACATTAGTTTTATTTTTCCTAGTGTGGACTGGAGACACAGTATGATGTCATGTGATTAAAACCAAGTTAAACTTTGTTCAATTTTCTATACAAGTTTCATCATTCTTCTCTAAATGATTGCTCAGGAGAACAAAATTACTAAAAATACTAGCAAGAGATTCACACTGTTAAGCATCTGTAGATTGATGTTGCACTGGACAAATAGCCTTGATCAGTAGGTGCGAANGGGGGGGAGGGGGGGAGGGAATGTGGGGGTAGTTGTTAATTAGCGATAGGGTATATGCTTTAACTTAATTATGGCCACGATTCTTCTCGTGTCCTTTACTGTACATTGCATCTATATCTATTTATATGTCGCTGGCAACAGGTTTAGTTTGGGTTCATTTGAAAATTATCTGGCTGAAGTTTATTAAAATCTTTTAGTAAATGGTGTGAGGAGTCTGAAATTTGGATGGTGTGATTTAACTCCATTTGGGAAATCCATTTGAAGTAATTTATTGATTAAACTCTTTTGATGGAGCCTGGTTCATTGGGGATATCTGTCAGTGTCATACTGGAACTGCATTTAAGAATTATTTTTCTGCTGCTGTTCTGAACATTGATTATAGTTACTAATCATACTGGGAAAAGAATAAAAATGACTTTAGTTATGGTGCTGGGGATAACGATTTGCCTGTTTGAAAGTGTATTTTTTCATCCATATTTTTCAAGTCGTGGTCCTTGCATTATGTCCCATGGTGACTCCCTTGCTTATTAAGCTACTTGGAAATACCATTCACATGGTTTGCATATACTCTGTGTTATGTTGTCAAGAGTACCGATATCATTATATTTTGATTTTTATATTTCCACAGCTAAACAGCCCATGAATGCTGAAGGTGTAATTTTTTATTAAATTGTGTTGCAGTTGTTTGTGATGTGTTTAACTTATTTATTCTGTTACTTCTCAGCATACCGCCTCTTTCTGTGGTTGGACTCAGTGAAGAACAGGCTATAGAGCAGGCAAAAGGTGATATCTTGGTTTTCACATCAACATTTAATCCTATGAAGAACACCATCTCAGGGTATGTGATTGGACATTAGTTTTATTTTTCCTAGTGTGGACTGGAGACACAGTATGATGTCATGTGATTAAAACCAAGTTAAACTTTGTTCAATTTTCTATACAAGTTTCATCATTCTTCTCTAAATGATTGCTCAGGAGAACAAAATTACTAAAAATACTAGCAAGAGATTCACACTGTTAAGCATCTGTAGATTGATGTTGCACTGGACAAATAGCCTTGATCAGTAGGTGCGAAAAAGCTCTGCTGGTTATGATGATTAAGAGCTGTATCACGACATTCAATTCTTTTAACTATTTGTCACTTAATTGAGAGCCCAATGTAACATACAGTTTCTTTTTAAGCCGTACAACATTATTGAACATATATATCTGCAAATAAGACTTGACATTTTGTGTTGTGCCTCCAGACGGCAAGAGAAGACAGTTATGAAGCTTGTTATTGATGCTGAGACAGATAAAGTTCTTGGTGCATCCATGTGTGGGCCAGATGCAGCTGAGATTATGCAGGTATTCTGTTGCAGTATATGATAATGCATAAGAGTTCATCAATGCACCGCTAAATCTAGATTTGCAGATATGGTTTCCGAGTTTGGTTTCCAGTCTTTAATTTTGTTGTTTCTACATCAGTCATGCATAGTAACTCTACGTATTATAGCACAGATGCTTATTATGAAAACAACACGGTTCAAAGTATCTGAGTCGATTCCGCCTCGACCTCTACCGATATGATACCGATACATGTTACAGAAAAAATTTAGTTTTGTTCAAATCGTTTCTGAATTGGTGCAATGCGATCCAACTCAGTACCATCTCATTCGAGTCGACCTTTCGCATTGGAGTTGAATCGATTTGCACCAAATCGTTCAATCACAGCCTTAGACAATAGAGAAAATGCCAAAGAAAAGGCAACAGAGATGAAGACAGTACCGGACCCCCAAATCTACAAAAATGCCCAAGCAAAAAAGATTGACAAGATACGTTAATTTGTAAATCTTGGATGAAACCCTAGACAACTTCTTCTTCACAAATATCCATTGCAAGAAACCCTAGAAAGTTTGGAAACCCATCAGCCATCGCCGCAGAGCCCCAAAGCCCCAGGGGAGCTTCGATCTAGTTCTGATCTTCTGAGTCTCATGATCTCTCTTTGTCATCTCTCTCTCTCCATCTGTGTGATCATTTGACTCCTCCCCTCTATGGGTCAAACCGATTGTGCCTTAAAAAATCAAGCGTAATATTTTAAGGTAAAGTTGGGATAGACCATTGCCTTTTTTTAATCCTTTTTTATTTTATGTTTTGTTATAATTTATATTTTTTATCTTTTTTATTTCTCTGTCCCACTAAATTTTTTGCAATTATATATACATGAAATGAACAAAAAATCTTAGTATTTTGTTTGATGTGCTAAATAATGCACATACATAATGATAAATATTTTCAGTAGTGCCTTTATCATGTCTTTTTACAATGTTTGATGTCTTAAATAATGCATTTTGCAGATATAAAGCTTGGATTACGATGTTTACATTATTTTGGATTTTTTCATGATTTTTTAAAATTTTTTTGAGCCTTTTATCAGGTGTGTTTTGAACATATTGGCCGATCTCATGCCATGCTGTGACCTCCGAGTCACAGTGCCCTCCAAGTCAGTGATCGATACGATGACTTTGAACCATGGAAAACAGCCTATTGGACATAGAGGGGGTATGGTTCATTTAATTTCTTCCCCATAACTTCCAGAGCAACATTATGGCCTCTCAAGAGTCATCTGAGTTTGTCGTTTTAAAATGTAGGAAGGTTAACAAAAAGCATGATAGGAGTTGTCAATAAACGTTAGTTGACATGCTTTGGTTATACCTTCACGTGCTTGAATTTTTTTTAATGTGACTCGTGTTTGAAGTCAAGGATTAATCTTATTTAATTTTTTGCTAGTAAAGCCACTGTTTTGCAAATCTAAGCAAATCACCTTTCGTGCAGGTTCAACCCATTTTTTTAGCAAATTACATTTTATCCCCTCAACCATCATTCGTACATTGCACCCTCAACCATAGTCATTAGTTGCACAGTGCCCCATCCACTGTTACATTTCTGACATTGCATCTCCAATCATATGATTATTGGTCTCATATTGCCCATGTGTGGACATTGAAAACGTGTATTTTACTGCAGATTTGGAAATTTTCCATCCAAAATATGTTGGCCAGTTTGTTTTGGAGCAGTGTGAAACCAATCTAAGTAGTTGAGGAAGCAATGTGAGATTAGAGTTATGGTTCCCGGGGTCAAAGTATAATTTGTCCTTTTTTTATGAGGATAAACTTTTGGATTAGCAAGTAGTGTTACAAGGATAAACTTCTGGGTTCAAATTTAACTTTTCCATATATTTTTTAGCTATTAATTTCATCTAAAATTCCCGGCATTAAGGTGATTTTGCCTAATATAGATCCGGAGGCTACAATAGAAAGGTGGAGATGAAAGATTACGGATCAAGGCTTGAAACCCACAGAAACTCTGCAACAATTAGCAGATAAATGGCAAATATTTCCAGCCAGAGATGGGCAGAAACCTGAATTTCCCGCAAGGGGATGCTTGAATACCACGAGCTTTGGCGCCCATACTGAGCCCAAACCACACAAATCTGACACAAAGGGCACCAAAACCTGAATTCCCCAACATCTTCAGTGCATCATAGATGTTTCTATAAATGTAGTAGCTTAGTTTCCAAGTAAATTACTTGGTAACAAAATACCTTAACCCCTAAAACAATTTAATATGGTGAGTGAAGATTAAGCCTTACCAAATCAAATCTTATGCAATCCAAAATTACCTGAAATGCCAAATGAAATATAATCAAAGAAAATCATTGAACTTTCCTAAAATACTAATTAAACCTTACCAATGTAAACCAGAATTTTTTCTTTTAAAAAAAAGAATTTTCGTTATACAATCATCCGACACCTGAACCTTGATCACATCACTCTGTCAGCTAGATAATTATTTGTTCCACACTTTGTGATGAGACCACCCAATTTGTGTAGCTCATTGGAGTAATTCTTTCTTTTCTTGTGCTTGTATATAAGGGGTACATGCAGGCATAAGAGCTGCTTACTTGGTGTGGGAATAATAATTTCACAAGAATTGAGCATACCTTGTATCTGTAGCACAAATCCAGTGTATCTCAAGCACGTAGTGATTCTCAAGCACTTCCTGTAGTTCTTGGAAGTTTTACTTCTTATTAATATGGTATAGTTTTTTGTGTTTTTATTGTGCCGCCTGATATCTTATGGGACGTATTTCACAGGGCATTGCCATTGCACTCAAGTGTGGAGCAACCAAGGCACACTTTGACAGCACGGTAAGCTGAACTTCACTCTTCAGAATTATGTGGCCTTGACATCTCGTTATACTAGTTCCTCCCAATATTCCCACTACCCATGCCAGATACTGGTCAGGGTTTTGCCATACAAAGGGGTTGGGGAAAAGGTGTTTGCGACTCCTATTAGTTGTCTGGAGTCTTGACTTTGTTGAGATGGAAGTAGTTCTTCATACGCTTCCATTCCAGCACGCTTGCGTGCCAATCAAGAATTTTGTACCTCCAAATTTGTGGATCAATGTTGCAAACATACACTAGTGGAAAGTAATAAAGAGAATACTGGCTTGGTACATCTTCTGCAACAACGCTCATACTTTCAGGGCTTGAAAGAAGTGCTCACCATTGTCAGATGAAGGCAATCTCATTTTAGCTAGCCTACCCCACTCCCAACCCCTAGCACCAATTTTTGTAGGGAGATTGCTATGCAGCTGACATCTTTTCTATCTTTTACCCCTCATAGTTGACTTTCTTAGGTTGGAAGTAACTATTAATGGTGGTAAGAAACGGTTAGTAAAACAAAATTCATGTGTTGCCAGACAGCTTTGCCCGTAGTTGCTACAATATTTGCATCCTTAAAGCAGTTTAGTAAAGGTTGATATCATAATCCACACTTTTCCTACAACAATATCAGCAATGGCATCTCTTTCTTGTGTTCATATCTAAGACTGTTGGGAACATAGACCTGGAATAAAGTACGCGTAGGATGTTTTGGCTCATTTCCATAGCCGTTTCACCATATTCTTTTGTTTCATTTTGAATCTTATTCCTCTCGCTAAAACGTCTTTTACTTTTGATACAGGTGGGCATTCACCCTTCTGCCGCAGAAGAGTTTGTGACGATGCGGTCAGTGACAAGGCGGATTGCTGCTGCTAAACCTAAGACAAATCTCTAGAGCTGGAAAAAGTCTGGAAAAATCCTATACCATTTAGTTTGAAGGGGCACATGAGGTTCGTAGGTAAAATGATCCGCATCAATACAACAGAACAGAGAGGAGAGAGAAAGTTGAAACTAGAAGACTGCTTAGTTGAGCTTTTTTTTTTTGTTACAGGGTGTTCAGGCTTATGTCAACTATTCCTTAAAGCTCAACGTTTGACCACCGTGGTTTGAACTAGGTTAAAAGATATCCCTAATTGGTTGAGGTATATGTTCTTTACATAGGAATTTAAAGCAGCGTTTGCCCTAGGATGGAGATTCAGGCAATGTTACTTGAGATCTTATTTGTTAACCTAATTATTTACAACCATTTTTTTTTTGGGGGGGAGGAGGAGGAGAAGTTAAACCCGTGACTTTAAGAAAACAGTCTTTACAAGACAAAGAGTATCATTAAACTAAAGACCTATTGATAATTATTTACAATTATTGGATTAATAGTGGATTTTATTATTGGTTGAGATCTTATACCAATTTAATGAGTTTGATGCATTAAGTTAGCAAATAAGGCCAGCATATTAGGTCTAAATAATCTTTTTCTAATGTTATTCTCCATTGTATTTGCCTGTGAATTAATGAGTGATCCCAAAAAATAGGAGGTATGGAAGAGGAAAAAAATGAATAGGCAACTGAGCTATAGCGTGAACAAGAGAGACTTAATGCAGAATTGAAAAAATAAATAAATATTAATTCAGATGTTTAGCATTGGTCACCTCTAAGAGGTTGGGCATTAGTTAAACCAAATAGAATTTTTTTTTTACTTTGATTAATCTTAAACTAATCAAAAGATTAAGGATCTTTTCTTGTTAAGGATTAAGATTGATTTTTCATGTTCTCTTATTTGGGGATTTTTATTTTGCTGGTTGACCCAAAAAAAAAAAAAAAAACACCCTTCATATGAAGTGACAAATGTGCAAAAACACAACCTTATTGCGATCAAGGAAGTTTAACACCTAATTATGTTAAGTAACACAGCATAGTGTATACAAACAATCATCGAGTTACCAGCATGTGAATATTAACAATGAATTGCACCTACGAAAACATCAACATATAAGGAATTATTGGTATTTACACAACTACATCTTATAAAAAATTCAGTGTCATTCACGTATAACATGTATAAATCACTGTCTTTTATCATCTCTGCCTGGTCTTTTCATTTTTTTAAGTATCCCTTATCATAAATTACAAATACTGATTGACTTACCGAAAATAGTTTTATATATCCTACCTAAATCATCATTACATGATATTTATCGGTAAAAGTTGCAACCCATGCATAAGACTCTTGCCTATAGTGACTTCTGTGAGAGTTAAGTGATAGACAGTCTTAACTTATTGGAGAAATTGATTCTTAAATTCTGACCCGCGGACTTGGGTAGATGAGCCCTCATTTGGGGTCCAATCTTTATGTATGTGTCTTACGGCTGAGTCACTGTTTTGCCTTCACACATGTCACAAATTGTATATCCAAGACCTTCACAGTATGGACACTTTGTTCCTTCATCTATCCATTCCACAAACTGAACCACAAAACTCAAGCATAAGACAAATAGCTGAAATAATGGCAAGGATAAGGGTTACCAAAGCATGATAATAGAAAATTGCCGAACATCCTCTAACCTGTGGTTCAATATTTGGCTCACCCGTCCCATCACATTCTGCAAGAGAAATTAATGTTAGCTCCAGATAGCTTTAGAAGGACGTCCGGTAGTTAAAACTTCTAAAAATGACACCAATATTCCTTAGAGCCATGAAACAAACTAGTATAAACATCTGACTAGCAAGATGATAGATACTTCATTCCTAGGTAACAGGAACCATTACTTTCTTTGTCCTAGTCAATAACTCAGTTCAAAAACTGATCTAAGCGGCGAAAGCATCATACACAGATGATTAAACATGAGATTATTCATAACATCAAGAATGACAGCAAGGATTAAATTAAATCCTNGGAACCATTACTTTCTTTGTCCTAGTCAATAACTCAGTTCAAAAACTGATCTAAGCGACGAAAGAATCATTCGCAGATGATTAAACATGAGATTATTCATACCATCTAGATTGACAGCAAGGATTAAATTTAATCCANAAACTGATCTAAGCGGCGAAAGCATCATACACAGATGATTAAACATGAGATTATTCATAACATCAAGAATGACAGCAAGGATTAAATTAAATCCTGACAGATACAGGCCTGAAGTTTAGGAATATTTACGGTAAGTGCAGACAGGAGTGAAGGGGACCAACACAATGATCCAATATGCTACACATTACATGCAAGGTACATGTACTCACAGTTCGTCTCAATTGACTTCACCTAGTCAAACCCCGTATCATATTATGACTTTCGAGTCATCTAGAACAGTTGGAAGACAACACCATTTCTTGAGCACTACAAAGCAAGCAGAAACTTCCCAATATCAAACTAAATGTGCTTCTTTTGGCCTCCAAACAATTAATACCTTCTCTGTCATGTATATGATACTGTACTAGACAAGTGCTGCAGAGCTGTTATTTACCTTTTAGACAATGATAATGTGCTAAAGCATTAATTTCATTTATTTGATGGCAGGTATCAATTATTAATGATATTTCTTCAAGACATTTTTTAGCTTTACATCTGGAATATCATTTTAAATTGCTTGACACCTTGGTATTACCACTATCAACCTATTTTAGTGAAAGTCGCTAGTATTCTACTTTGACATGTGATATCAATGCCTTCCACAACTCTACATGTTCTAAACATTATTAATACCCTTAATTCCAGCGATCGTAAGCTGAACAAAAGTGGCTACGGAATGCCCTTTTATAGTATTTTTAGATAAACTAGTTTACCTTAAAATTGAAAATATTACCTCGTTCTATTTGGCATGCTCTCTTTTATGTGTTTCTGCAGGTGTGTTAAAATAATAAAAAGGATAAAAAGAAATAATGTTTGACTCTCACTGCTGGGAGGAAGAAAGAAGGCATTTCCTTCAAGAGGCTAAAAGCCAGGGGGTTGATATGATCAATCATATACTGAGATAATGGTATTGACATTAGTTTCTAAAGGTCAACCCACTTTTGTGTTTGTCTCCACCTAACTTGTCCAATTTTTATATAAGACAATAGTTTAACATTTGAACACAGCACTTGTGCTATATACACTTCTGATAGATGTAAGTGAAAGAGATACAAACTAAGTGTAAAATCCCTGTATATATAGTCAATGAGAGTTACAATAAGGACAAAAAGGTAAAAAAGGAAAACTTAATAAAACCCTAATAAACTAGGCTACTGCTATATCTCTAACACTCCCCCTCAAGCTAGGCGCAAAAATGTCAACTAAGCCAAACTTAACAACGGAATCCCNCTATCTATACTCCAACACTCCCCCTCAAGCTAGGCGCAAAAATGTCAACTAAGCCAAGCTTGACAACGGAGTCCCGAAGAATAGACAGAGTGACAGGTTTGGTAAAAACATCCGCAACCTGATCACTGGTCCCCACAAACGATGAAGTGATAATACCACTACTAACCTTCTCCCGAAGAAAGTGAACATCGATCTCTATATACTTCATCCTCTCATGTAGTACAGAGTCAAAAGCGAGCTAAATAGCAGATCGATTATCACAATATAATGTGGATGGAGAGGTCACTGAAAAACCCAACTCG